GTCTGCATAACAATGGAAGTTTATGCGGTGTTTCCTGATAAGATCGCCCAAAGTCCTATATGACGGGGGAGCGGCCAGCGCAGCCGTTCAGAGGTTAAATTCCCTTTCCCAGACCTAATCTAGCCAGTGTGCATCTCTTCTACAACGCCACCAGACATCCAGGCGACCTGAAATCGGACTAAGTATCTCTTTCTTTAAACCAAGCTAGTCGGCTAAATTTGTTGTTGATTCTAGTGTCTTAAGTTAATTTGATTGCTGATTTGCTTTAGTTTTCGTCGTCTCACTGCGAGTTCTTTGTTTGAAGTTATCTTGGTTGCTAGTTTGCTCAAGCTCTTTCAGTCTTTTAGTGCCAGTTTGTGTTCTAGATTCTACTATTAAGTTAACTGCCAGTGTGCCCTCCTAACTCGCTAGGTTTTGACCTGATCTAAGTCTGTTTTGCCTAGCAGAGTTAGGAGGGCACACTGGCAGTTAATAGTACAGTCTAGAGCACCAACTGGCACTAAAAAAAGTGAAAGAGTTTAAGCAAACTAGGAGCCAAGATAACCTCAAACAGAGAGAACTGGCAGTAAAACGGCAAGAACTAAAGCAAATCAGCAATCAAATTAACTTAAGACACTGGAATCAACAACAAATTTAGCAGACTAGCTTGGTTTCACCGACCTAAAGCTAAACCAGACAGTTGTGATCAGACGGGGCACTTTTTGACGCAGCTTTGGTAGTCTTTGCACTAGTGTCTTAAAGCATAGACTGATAATCAAAAGCTCTTACATAGTGCTCATTTAGGGAGTCACTGTCTTGAGGAGTCCAAGGCCAGAAGAAAAGCAGAAAGTGTCAACCAGGCAGACCCAGGGCTGATAAGGATGAGATTTAGAGACACACAAAGCAACATACAACACTCACCCTTTGTTTGTTATGTTCACATATGTTAGAAGACCACACATTGCATGTGATTGGATCTTGTGTTGCCTGCGGGCCGAAAGAACTGCTCCTGCCTTTGCAAACGCAGAGCTTATACTTGACCTGTGATCTGACAAATACATCTACCAGAACAAGTAGATTTTTTTTGGCTGAATTTGTGAAGAATTAGCCCAACCGGGCTTCCAATTTTGTTCACAATCTTTCAAGACCAATAGCATTCCAGTTAAGCACGTGATCCCACTCGCCAGGTGTAAGGCAGGACCACTTCAGGGACAACCACCATCCATAGAAACCTGTGGGGAGGGAAAGCATGACTTCAGGAAAGAAGCAAAGTGGGTAATGTTGGTTTATGATGACAGTAATAGTAATAGAAACCTGTGAGGCGAGAAATCACAAATACTCCGTGGAAGAAACGTAGTAAATGATAATGTTCACAGTAATAGTAATGGGAATAATAATGGTGTTAGAAGCAGTAGATGTCAGCAGGGCCAGGCAGAAAGCAGGAAAAGGGTCCAGACAGAACCACGATCTACTGAAACCTGGGAGGCAAGAAAGCACAAAAACTCTGGGGAAGAAGCTCAATTAGTGATATGCACTGATGAGATGTGAATTATTATAGAAAGAGAGAGGGAGAGGAGGGACAGGAGCTTGGTGTGTCCTAAGAAATCCCCCTGGATGTTTAGGCCTATAGCGGCTTATCTAAAGGATGGTCCAGACTAACCTGAGCCAGCCACAAGCGATATCAAAGCGATATCAAAGAGGAAAGTTTTAAGCTTTATCGTAACCCTCCTTCGAATTACCTCCGAATTTACGAACGAACGATCTTTTACCATTGGGGTCAATTTGACCCAGAAAATGGTCATAATTCGAAAATTGGATGGAAAAAAGTTTATGTATCCGGAACTTTGTGCTTGTTTGTTTGACTACCTAAATAGCGTATTCAATTAAAAAACAAAAAGACAACCACCTGCTCAAACATCCGGGAATACCTGCTAAGCGACTATGGAGATATGTGCGGATCAGTCAATAAAATCTCACAGATTAACGTACCATTCAAAAGAGATAATTTTTTGGTGTTTTAATGGCTTTATATTATCTCTACATATTTTTGTTAATTATAAAGTTTGGAATGAAAAACTATTTATGTTAAGACTAGTAACATTCGTTATGTTCGGGCTCAATTTGTGTTAGTAAACAAGGATCATTAATTAACAATGCAAAGTCCGTTATTTTTTAGTGGCAGGTTATCCACCGACACTGCCTTGTCGATCGCTTACTACTTACAATTACTTGAAGCATTTCTGTCATAGGAATTGCATGTATTATACATTGTTCATTCTGTACACATGGCATCCATTGTAGTCTGTCCATCCCGGGAGTGGGATCCCTCCTCTGACGTTCTCCCTAAGGTTTCTTCCCTTTTTTTTCCCTGTTGGAAGGGGTTTTTCCTGTGCCGATGGAGGGTTTCGGGACAGAGGATGTCGTATGTGTACAGACTGTAAAGCCCTCAGAGGCTAATTTGTAATTTGCGATTTTGGGCTATACAAAATAAAATGAATTGACTTGAATTTAATTAATCGACTGGTCATTTGCGTTCAACATATTGGACACCCCTGGTCTATGGTGTGGAAAAATACAATGCCAAGAGTGCTATCTTGATCTGTAGAACTAATGTGAACAGAAAATTCTCTGTCTTCAAATTGTTTGATAATTACCTCGGTGTCTGTTTCTATCTTGGGCATTTTATTACAGAACAGATGACAGATGATGAAGATATCTACATGTGAAAGGATGTAAGCACAAGCAAAAATTTCACGCAAGTTAAGTACACACAGAAAAAAAAGGTCCTTCAATGGTTCTTTAGAAGGCTAAGTGGTTCTACAAAGAACCATCACCTTCTAAAGAACCATTTCATCTATTAGATCAGTGGTCACCAACCTTTTTTACCTCACGGACCGTTTTCATGTCGGACAATATTTCGCGGACCGGTCAAGAAGGTTCGGCGGAATAACGGGGGCGTAGTAGTCGTAGCAGGCGGACCAACTGACGGGGGGTTTCTGTGGTGCGGCCCGGTACCAAATGGCCCACAGACCAGTCCACCTCTTCCATAAGAATGTTTTCCAAAACGTTTTAAGGGGAAAGTCATGAATGACAACATAAACCACCAATCACGTCCATATCTGTCCCCCCTGTCTACTTTCAAGTTCGTTTTGTGGACACATATAGGGTTGCCACCTTTAGTACAGAAGAATGAAGGACGCTACGGCCGACAGGGGGCTTAATGTTTGAATGACAGCAGCTGAGCCGGCTGGTGGGATAAGACAGTAAATAAACGTGTTTTTGGAACTGTAGCTTGCAAGTTAAGGTCAGAAAGGTGTGTTAATGACTGTTGAAGAGCAGTCTGTGCTGATCAGAGCTTAGTGAGCAGTATGAACTGCTGGCAGCTTATGCTATGAGCCACATTTCATGACTATATAAATGATGTGCACCTTGAAGTAATGCCAGGCTCCTGATTGTTGTGTATTTACACATTATTTAATGTAGTGACACAAACAAGCTTTCATTTATAATTTTTGACCAACTGTGGAGGATGAAACCGGAAACTGTTTGAATATGACTGTTTCTTAAGGGACAGCACAGTGACTTTTTCAACAAAGACGTATGTTACAGCAGGCAACAATAGAAATCAATTTAAGTTTTTTTTTTAAGATAGGCTGTAGACACTCTGATAATAGTATAAAAGAAGAAGAAAACATTTTTATTGCCAAGAAATATATTATATGTTGACCATTTTTCTAGACTAGAGTCAAAAGCTACGCAATCCTCACGCAGCCCGCAAGGCTGTGATTGTTCGGCTAACTGCATCCTTTCCGGAGTCTTACATTTCCAGTTCCATAGCACAATACCGCCATATTTAAAAGGAAGATTTTTGAAGAGAGAATGAATCACATTGAAGAGCTTTTGTCGGAAGAAATACGGAAATATGACCACTTGTACAACCCGTCATTGGCGGACTATAAGGACGCGTAGATGGCCTCCAATTCATGGAGGGAGATCTCTGCAAATGTTTGTGTGCCGGTCGAGGGGAACAAAGTTGTGGAGGAAAATACGGGACAAATATGTTTGCGAAAAAAAGGCGATGAAAAGCAGTCTTTGGGTTAGGAGTGCCCTGTCTGCCATCCTTCAGGGTGCATGTGGACAAGAAGCCCAGGTAAATAAACAAACCAACGACTTCCACACACAAAGACGTCATTCTCTAGGTCTTCTTCGACAAAAAGCGTTACTCCACCTGTTGTTCTGGCGGTAAATTACTCTGCAACACGTGCCACCCTTTTAGAACCATGAATTAAAACGAGTCCATCGACACAACTGCGGGAAAAGCCGCAGCTGCAGTTGCAGAAGCATGCCAAAGCCTTTAGGTGTCTTACTCAGGGACACGTGGAGGAGCCGGGGCTGCCGAACCACCAACCCTGTGGTTCCCGACGCACCCACTCTACTCCATGTCGCCTCTATACTTTTTATCTCACAGTATCTATTAATATAAAAATGGCCTGAAAGGACTAATATAATAATTAATAGATTTCATAAAATAGACATTTACTGTGCATATACCAATTATGCGGTTGTGTGTAGTCACCTCGAAAAAAGGCCATGAAATACTTAATTGAATTACATTTTGTACATGCTTATAGTCTTTCTTCTCAACAGATTCTCCTGTGGCATCACTCGGAAGAACCATTTTTGGTTCCAGTTGGCACCTTTTTTTTCTGTGTACAGATAAAGTGAAGATGTTTCTGTTTAGAGCATATTGTACACCACTCAAGACTTCACACTTGTGGTCTAATTACAAAAAAGAGGGCCTAGGGAGACTCGTGGTAGACTTATAGAAGTCTCTGTTGTCTTGCACCTTTTATACACATATATGTAAACATACACATAAATACTCATACATAGTCTCTTAGGCATACTAAGACAGAGAGGCGCGAGAGAGACAGTGGCTGGTCACAGAATTATTTTCTGTTAGTGTGTCTCTGCTGGCCCCTGCTGATCACTCCATGAAAAGGCGCACACACACCACTTGGGTCAGTTGAAGTTTTTTATTTCTCTACTTGAATATCCTCAGAGTGATTCATCTGATCGCGTTAATGTAGAAGATAACACCACAAGGCATTAGTACTGCAGTTATCACAAACCCAGTAGTATTCTGGGAAACTCCACAGTGAGATGAGCTCTCAGTCGTCTCCTCCGCACAGGCTAAGCAGAGCATTCTGGTAGTCTCCTTTAGTCTGCTCCTGAACCCCAAAGACACAAGAAGAAAAATGAATAAAATTCATTCAAAATCAAATCATATAACTAATTATATTACCATTATTATTAATAAAAGCAATAGTGGAAATACTACTGATATTGATGATAACAGTAATAGTAATAATTCTGATGATAATGTTTCATTGTGTGTGTGGTAATTTCAATATTAAAAACCATAACTGACAGCGATGGTCTGGTACAAAGATCTTTTGTGCTGCTTCTTGAACTCTGTTCTGATCTTCATGAGGTCCACCTCACAGCGAGAGACCATGATCCTGGTCACTACCTTCTCCTTTGCTCCTTTACCCTGCAGAGGGACGTTCGTGTGTTTATTTTCGGGCTGTCAAAATAAATGTGCTATTCTATGCGATTAATGTGGCCGAGATTAATGCGATAATACTAATACCGGAAGTAAACAAAGTTGAAAAGTTTCCGCAAACGAAACCACCGCTAGCTGCTGTCAGTTAGTTTGCATTGCAGTAAAACAGAGACACAACATACAGCGGAGAACTTTGGAGAGGAATTCCTCAACGTGTCAATCAGAAGGGGGGTGAGTAGCAAACGGACCACTTTAGGCACTTATGTCGAATTAGTGCTTTGTGGATGATCAAATGTGTGTAGTTTTGTGTTTAAAATGATTGAAAAAGCTTAAAAATAACATAAAAGTGTCTAAAATACATGCTTTCTTAAGTTTTAATTGTGATTAATCTATTGACAGCCCTAGTTTATAAGTTAGTTATCAGTAATATTACTGAGACATACATTACGTTAAACAACATGTGTTTATTGCTAATATAAAAAATATATTACAAGTGAGAGTATGAAAATTTACCTTCATGGCATCATTGAGTTTGTTGGCGAAGTACAGCTGTCTGTTCTCAAAGCACTCCACTGTGAAGACATGCATTCACCTGTGCTATGAGAACATAATTTGAAAGGACTAATCTATCCTAAGAGTATGGGCTCATGGGAACAATCATTCTGCTGTCTTATTAGTCTCATGTGACAAACTACTTTGTGTTTATGATTTCTATGGTTCAGATGAAGAACACAAGGTGTTTATTACCCAGCGTGAGGAAGGACTTCTCCATGTCTCCTTTCACCTCCTTCCTGATGCTTTCCTTAATGTCGTAGGGACTGTAACGCTTATACCTCTCAAACACTGACGGAAACAAAGATAATATTTTGAAAACTGGGTTATTAAGTTGAACATTTCTATAAGTTTAACCAGCCAACATACAGGAACAGAAACCAACCCATGACGAGGGTTGGTATTGGTCACGTGCTGGGGTGTAGTAGGTGTAGCACACCTCAACCTATATTAGTGGATAGTGTAGTAGGTGTAGCTCACCTTTCTGCAGATGGGGAACACTTCTCTGAGACATGATGGAGATCCAGGTAGCTACGTCAGTTCCCTTCCTCTTCACGCCGGCTTCATACAAAGACTGAAGGTTCACAGGCATGAACAATAACGGGCATTTTTTAATTACTTTAATGATATAACAATACATTTGTTTTTTATAGCGCTGTTCTAGGTACCCAAGGACATTTCACAATGACAGACAAGAACAAAACCAGACAAAAAAAGTAAGAGAAATGAACAGATAAGAGAAACAGACAGAATATAAATATCATCTTTATATACACAAGGGCTGTGGTTCTCCCACTTTGGAGGAAGAAAAATGTTCGGGCCCCACTGCCCAAACAAAAATGTAACAAAATGGTCCATGCTGAGTTTGTATTTAAATAACAACATTTTGTGACTCCATGTGTAATAATAGAATAAAGAAAATCAAAGTCACTTTCATCTAAACCAGATTGCTCCATCAGTGTCCTTGAGCCAGACACTGAAGCCCCAGTGCTTCACAGCAGCACACTGCTCCTTAATTACTAAGGATGGGTAGAATGCAGAGAATAATTTCCCCATGTGGGATTAATAAAGGATAATAATACAATAATTATAATAATATATTTTTTTAAATCAACATTTCCCCCAGCCCCTCCTGTATTACCTCCGCGCCCCACAGTCTGAGAGCCACTGCACTAGAGCGCGTTACCGCGTTATAAATGCATTAATGTAGCAATCCAAGTGATAGCTGCTTCTTTTGTTTGGGGGAGAACTGGGAGGGGCTTAACGCTGCTGCACACGTTAAAATGAAAAAATGGGAGAAATGGAATTTTTATTTGAAATCACTACCAGACTACTCGTTGATAAAAGCAAAGCTATTTATGTCTATTTTTCAGCGGAGTACTACGAGGCTGAAGTATTATGAACCTCAAGTACTATGAAGCTGAAATACTACGACAACCAGTGGAGCAAGACTACGCTGAATCCTGCGTGCGGGAGAACTGTCAAAAAGACAACAAGAATGAAGCGGCCTTAGAATCGTAACCAATGAGGAGCGTACGAGTAAGCGTCAGCTCCTTACCTTTCGAGCCAAATACTGTTTTAATTATGCAAGTTAAAATTGTCTTAACTAGAGTGGGTAAAAGGGCGCTAACGCCGGTGTATTAGCCGTGTGCTGGTAGACGTCCATCGTCATTGTAACCATTATATTTCGAGGAGAAATCTGCACCCTGTGAAAAGTGGTTTTCTCATGCTGGTCATATTGTTCAGCAAAATGTTTGCATTTGGTTTGAACGACATTCTAAGAGATTGCCACCAGCTCTTGTTTGGCTTCGTCTGCGTGCTGCAGCAGTCTTACGCCGGCCCCCAATGCATGATGACTGGACCCGGTTCCTGCCTCCAACATTAACGACTTTGCTTCTTTCCTGAAGTCTTTTGTGCTTTCCCTTCCCCCACAGGGGGATGGATGGTTGTTCTATCTGATGGTGGTTACATCTGATGGTAGTATTATTTGATGGTGGTTCTATCTGATGCTGGTGGGTATATCTGATGCTGGTTATATCTGATGCTGGTTATATCTGATGCTGGTTACTTCTGATGGTGGTTACGTTTGATGGTTGAATTGAACGTATTGTACATATTTTACACTGTTTTTCTTAAATATACAGTATACGTTCCTTTTAAATACATATATGCTATATATACATTTCTTTAAAAGTATATTGTAAGTATAAAAGTTCCTCTAATAGTTAAAGTTAAATATTCATTATTATAAAATAACTAAGTATTCGGGTGGCTGGACTCACTCTGGCGTCCTCGTCAATCTTCTCATAGTCGACCACATTAGAAGGTTCATCTCTCTTTGTCTGTAGATTGATAACGAACCATCAATAACATGTTATTATAGTGGATATTATAGTAGAAATGTTGTATTAAATAAGCAGTTTGGACTTTGTTTCCAGAGACACAAATAAAGTAACTTGGCTACTTTAAATAGAGAAACGTGGCTACTTTAACTAGAGTCTAAAAAAGGTTCAGAAAGATCAAATCAAGTAATGATTTACTACCAGAATATGAACAAATACATGCTACTACCGCAGGGTGAGAACAATCAAACAATCTGTTAAAAGTACTTCTACAACACTGTAAATGTAATTAAAATTACGAAATTAAGATAACTGTTTCAGTAAAACACCTTCCAACACACCAACTAAAGACATCTTATATCTATGTTTTGTTAGCATCTGAGCTACCTGAACCAGTGCCAGCAGCAGTTTGGCGAAATCTCCTGATGTGTCTCCTGCTATGTCTTTCTCCACCTCTTTCTTAAACACTGCAGAGACAAACAGAGAAATGTGAATGTTAGCTACTGTTACTGGAGTCTAACTAGTTTTGTATATGTCAGCTAATGTTAGCTATAGAGGCTAACTTCTTTGTAAGCAGTTGATATTAGCCATGGAGGCTAACTAACTTATAATGCCTTAGGTAGGGTTCGCAGAGGTTACCTCACTTCGTATGACAGTTAGCTAATGTTAGCCATAGAGGCCATCTAGCTTTATATGCATTTGCTGATGTTAGTGATAGAAGGTAAATTTGTTTTGTGTGTACTTGCTGATTTGACTTAGCGACTATAGAGAGACTTCTGCTAAAGTTCTGTTGTTTACTCCAGATGCTAGATAATCCATTTATTTACTGGCAATAGCTTTACGCTAAATTCTTAACTTCTATTTGGACCAAATAATTCATGTTAGATGGTTGTGTCCAAACATACTGTCTTTGTAAACCTTCTTGATCTCCTCCAGTTCTTTGTAGTTTCTGGAGCAGACAATCTCAATGAGAGTTTCCTCGTCAGTCCCAAGTCCCTGAAAACCAGAACCAGAACTCAGACGTGAGCTCCTCCAGAGCCCTCTGATGGGTCAGAACATTCTAATCAAAGGGGGGGAGGGGCAGCAAAATAGGGACATCCAACACACCCTAGAGGGGGGTGCTAGTGAAGAACGAGGGGCAGAGTAGTGGGGAAGAGAGAGAGCGTTAAGAGAGTTACGCAGTTAGGACAAAAGAGGAGGGTTTCAATCAATTGAATGTTCAAAGGAATATAAAAACTAAAGTGTTGTATCGTCGCATCGTCAGTGTCTTTCTGAAAAGAGCTTGGTTTATTCGAGTGATTGTTGCTCCAATAAATACCTGTGAATTGAAGGAACTTAAGCAGTTGTGTTACTGAAATTTCCTGGTCTGCGAGAGTGTGTGGTGCCCACCACGAGTCAGATAGATAGTGTCAACGCGGAAATAGTTTAAACTGCAAAGAATGAATCCATAACAACTCCTGTCCTCTTGTACCCCTTCCCTCCAGTACTTTTGTACTCCTTCCATCCTTCGCTCCTGTACTTCTGCTCCGTGTTTGTGTACTTCTGCCCTCCTTTTTTTGTGTCCTCCTGCCCTGTGTATTCCTTCCCCCTTGCCCTTTTGTACTTTTGTACTTGTGTATTTCTGCCCTCTTGTTCCTATGTACTCTTGCCCTCCTGCCCGTGTGTAGTCGTGAATCTTTGTACTCGTGTACTGAGTTCCGCTGACCTTCATGGAGGCCTTGAGCTCGGAGGCGTCGTACTGGGCGGTGCTCCTCATCAGACCCAGCATCAGAGTTTCGAGAGGGCCGGACAGCGCCCCCTTCAGGGCCGTCATCAGATCCTGGATCACGGACAAGGACACACAAATGTTTTAATAAGAGTCGGAAGAAGCAGCAGGTAGTCTTCATGCTCTAGTTCAGGCGGAAAGAGGAGGACCTTCTTGGCGATGCGTTCGTACTCGAAGGCGATCTCCCTGCGCTGCTCTGTGCTGCGTCGGGTCAGTATGTCGATGATGGTCTGCTCGTCTACTCCTGAACAACCAGAAGGTCGAAAGGTCAACAAAAGAGTATGAGGGTCTTCTATTCTTACGGTCAACTTCACCAACCACATCACCGAGACTGCCTTCTTCCACCTCAGGAACATTGCAAGGGTCAAACCTTCCCTCTCCTCTGCCACCACTGAAATTCTCATCCATGCCATCATAACCTCCAAACTCGACTACTGCAACAGCATCCTCTACGGCTCTCTCAACAAAATCCTCAACAGACTCCAATATGTTCAAAACTCTGCCGCCTGACTGCTCCACCCGCCGCTATGAACACATCTCCGCGGTCCTATGCAACCTCCACTGGCTCCCGGTAAAATACAGGATAGACTTTAATTACACATATACTCACCTACAAAGCCCTAAACAACCTGGCCCCTACCTACCTCTCAGACCTCCTCCCCCTCCACGCCCCAACCCGATGCCTTACGTCCACAAATGCTAACAACCTGAAGACTATCAGGACCAAGCGCCGGACCTGGGGCGACAGGGCTTTCTCAGCTGCTGTACCTCCCCTCTGGAACGCCCTCCCCATCCAAATCTGCCAGGCTCCCACCATATTATCATTCAAACAAGCCCTCAAAACCCACCTCTTCAAACTCGCTTTCAAATGCTAACCCCTACATCACTAATTCTCAATTTTTTCTTTTTTTTTTTTTTAAGGTCAACTGCTCTTAATGTTGACTTAAGGTTTTTATTATTACGGTCAACTTGAGGTTTCTTTTTAAGGGTTTACCTAAATTAAAAATTGGCACAGTCAGAACTAAGTTTAATGTAATTTAACTGTCAGATGTTCCATCAGATGGGTAAATGTTACTGTAGTGCTTTCCAATAAGTCACTTCGGACGCCTCAGGGGTTTCAATATGCTGTTCTGTTTATTTCGGTTATGCGCATTCTTTATCTTTGGATAAACAACGTAAACGTATAACAACAAAAAATAGACTGTCACTAAACTTATAAATAAACCAACAAACAAACAAATAAACAAGCTAAATTGAAAAACCATATTTCTGCTGGCGTCCAGGTACCTCCAACATTCGATTCCAAAAAACCCCTCCAAACTCTGTCAAGGGCTCATCCTTTGTCTTCCCCTGACCTACTAATTGGCACAGGTGTGCAACCCCAACTCCCTGTTCCAAGGCCCTTGGAATTAGCCAGCAGGGGTCATCAAAGTAACCTCATCACAAATGGCTCCTACAGTTCCACTAACAAACTATCCTCCATGTGGTTATGTTTACACAGAGCAGATACTTCTGCTCACTCAATGTACGTGTTGCTGATCTATTTGACTGTCTTGCCTTTCGTCTTGATGGCCGTCTCGATCCTTGCAGCATCTTTGCTCGGGTCAAAGTCTCGTTCCGGCACCACGGTGGGGAATTTAGGCTCCACCTCCTGCCGAGGACAGAGACATGTGACATCACAGTGTGCTGCTGTAACATCACCTAGCCTTCCTTTAACTGGTAGAAAAGAAAGAGCCTCAGGCGGACAATACAGGTGTGCTTACACCTGAGAGGCAATGACCTGTATCGTGAAGAACAGTATTCACTGACCTACGCCACATGAGAGAGGAAACAGAACAACAACAACAAGAGGCTGAATGAGTAGCGATGTAACAGACCTGAAATTATTAGAGGGTAAAGTGAAGTGCTGCCTCCTCCATCAACTTTGCTACATGTTTCATAGGTTCCCTCTAGTCTCAGCGGTTAGTATTTACTTCAGAATTTTCCTCCCTCTTCAGAGGAAGTTAGGTTTTCACAGTAAAAGTTCTTAGTTAAAGGAGGTGGTTATTTGACCCATATATCCCTCCAGGACTTTCTCTACGATCAAATGGTGGGATTCTTAATAAGTAGTTTTTAGCGCCCTAGTTGATTGGGTTTCTGTTGGGGAGAACCAACTCCACCTACCTGATCCCATAAAGTAGGTGTGCTGATACAATGGTACGAGGGGGAGGTGACTCACCGCTCCGTACGACAGCGTCAGCTGACCCAAGAACTCGGAGACCATCGCCATGTTGAGTTGCCCTGCAGAGAGGAAACACAGACAGATCATCTCTTCCTCCGGATGTCTTATTAGAGGACGGATGATTCCTCCTGTCGTTTCACCTGGTGAGGAACTTTTGATGCATCTTTATAACAGACCAGGTGATCCAGGATGTATTCTTTGCATGTTTTTTATGAATGTTGGATGAATTTCATGTAAAAACATTGGACGGAGGACAACTCCCATGAGTGGACTCAATCTCTAACTCTGATCTAAACGCTGCAGAAAGGTGTGGTGTCTGTTTTATTGACCAGAATGTGCGGAGGAGGAGGGGCAGCAGGAGAGGCAGATAAGAGTGATGGATCAAAAAACACACATGTGAACGGTAGAGCTCGTTGTGTAACACACACACACTGAACCTCAAAGAGACGACGATTTAAATCAAACTCTGGGATGTGTTTTAATGTCATTATTAAGCCATCAATCATGACGTTATTGTATAGCATTATTTTATTAATAGTTAATATAATACATTTGAGAAGAGCTCGATAGCGCTCCGACCTTTGACCCTTTAGAAAACATTAACAGGAAGGCTGTGAAATTCAGCGTTCGGTCACCTAGCAACGGCCAAGACAAACAGTCAGAGTCTTCCTATACTTTTCTAAAGGGAAACGTTTACTTCTTAAAGCACAAACTCACATTTATTAATGTCGGTATAACTAGAAATGGAGGAGAATTTGATTGAAAATCATCAAGAGCATCAGTGTGTTGCATGGATGTTTCTCATGAAGTAAAACCGAGTGTTGCATTATGGTTTGGAGGATATTAGCTATGTAACTATCGAGTTACATGACAGTGACCCTGGTCTGGTGGATTTTGGCCAGAAACCTGTTTGTTTTTTACTACTGGGAGTCAAATAGATTTAAAGAACTGAACATTTTTCTTCCCAAATCCATTCTTCTTTTTTATTGTAATGTTATTGATGTATAACTTCGAAACTAGATTACGAAACATTCTTTATTGCTCAGGCTACTATAACATTGTTCCAGTTGAGTTATTTATTATTAGGGCTGCCTCAGGATTATAATAAAGGATGGCTCAGGTTTATAGTTTGGGCTAGTTTAGGTTTATAGATAGGGCTGTCTCAGGGTTGCCTTGGACCAGCTCCTAGTCATCGCGCTTGTAATCAGAATACAATATAAAATTAAAATTGTTTAGATGTTCAACATTTATTCCGTGGTACTCTGTTTACTTCAACCCTAGGTTTAGGTTTAGGGTTGTATGTAAAGGCTATGTATGTTGCCATAAATGTTTACTTTTATTAACAGTTTTGCAAGTTTGAGTTTACAAGCTGCTAAAAAAACATGGACAGATCAAATGTATCCAAATGGTTTCAAAATAAAAACCTTCATGGTTGAGTAAAGTCTTTTTTCTGACTCTATCTTTATGAATGGATTTAGTTGTAATGTTAGTCTTTTTTAAGGACCATAAGGAGCAGATGAAGAAATGGAGACAATAAGTGCTGCTTTTCCTGTTGAGTTTCTTTGTTCCTGCTTCCAACGGGGCCAACAGGTCATCAGCCCGCAGCCGGCCGCACCCAAAGACCAGTTATCACATCGGAAGGTTTCACAAGAGTCTCCTAAGGGAAACTAGCCATTCACAGATTACATTCATCGGCATGGTGTTGAAAACACAACAAACACCTAAATACTAACCCGGGCTGTGTTATTCTAGTGAAGCTGACTTCTCTGTGCAGAGTAAGAGCTGGAACAGAGTCTCCATGTTTTCTTACCTTTAACAGAAGCAGCAGCAGTGATTCAGCCAGCAGCAGCTCCGTTATGATCCAGGACAGGATAGGGTGTGGTGCTTAAGTACAGCAGACTCTCACCCCTCTCTCACCCCATCTGGGGGCTGCTGGATGACTCACTCGACAACACTTTTACACTGAACAAATGTTCATAAATTCCTCACTGATGATTTTCTGCCTTTATGATACTGGCTAGTGGTGGTAACCTCTGAAGTAGAATATTGGGACATAGGAGACAGTTTAAACTCTTTCTAAGTCACAGCTGGTAATTGTTGTCTCTCTATGACCCTGGGAGCTCCGAGTCCACATATGATTTGATTTAATCAAGTAGATTGTGCAGCTCTTCATCCACACTTCCTACATTGCAAGACGTGATTTTATCATAACAGACTTCCAGAAAGTGACCAGTCTGACTTATATATTCTTTACAGGGTTTGGACATAAAGTCCTGCTTCAGTTCTCAGTAACACATACCAAACTTAGCACTGTAGTTAGAACTTAGTTTGAGGTTTGTTGATGTTTTTTTAGTAAAATGGGATTTCAAATGATCATAAATGGTCAATGAACATGTTTCCTGTCAGATGTGTTGTTAGATTAGATTAGCTTCAACTTTATTCTCACTGCACAGGGTACAAGTACTGAGGCAACGAAATGCAGTTTAACATCCAACCAGAAGTGCAAAGTAGCAAAAAAGTGCAGAGTATGTGCATGTGTAAAGTGTAATAAGTGAATAAATAGATATGAACAGTAAGAAATAGTTGTGCAATATGAACAGTAAGAAATGGATATACAATAACAGTGCAAATGTTCAGTGGCTGGAGGAGGGTGTGTGGCAGTCAAGCCAGGGTGGAGGGGGGAGTACAGTCACTGAGGGAGGTGTGTGTGTGGGTGAGGGGCAGAGTTCAATAGAGTGACAGCCGCAGGGATGAAGCTGTTCCTGAACCTGCTGGTCCGGGAACGGAGCACCCTGTATGTAGTTATGTTGTGTTCAGTTTCTTGTGATGGTGAAGACCTTGATTTAGGAGGCGCTGCCACCTCAGTCAGTGATTCACCTCCATCAGTGATTCACCTGCAGACTCACTTGCTGCCGTAAGAATGGGCGCGGCTTAGTGCAACTTTAAGACTTTGATCAGATCAATGAACCCCACCAACTCCCTTTCTACCACCCCTTTTGCATGTAAACAAGTGATTTCCCTCCTCCCCTCCTTTGTTTATCCATGTGGAGGTGAGAAGGTGAAACTGAAGAATTTCAGTTAAAATGGTTAAGAATATAACAGGAAGTCAGTGACGCAGCTCACTCCTCAATGGAGGGCAATCAGCTTTACAGAGGCCAGGTGGGTGACAGGTCAGTTACTTGGTCCCTCAGGTAACTCCACCAACAGATCACACCTGATTTCAGATTGTCAGCTGTGTCACAATGCTCACGTCACTTCCTGCTTTACTTCATAAGCTCTCTTTAATTTCTGTCTGTTCAGTTTTCCATCTTTTGCTCCCCACACCTGTCTCCAGTTTCACATCATACACCTCAGTGGTATGAACCCCAACTGCTCTGTGCTAACATACAATGTACAACTTGAAACTCCAAACAACAAAAGCAGAGCGGAAGCGGTCTCTTTTTTTTTTTTTACACATCTCACAAGAACCTGCCTGTGATCCTGGAGGTTCATCTTCAGTTATAAGGAAGTTAGCAAAAGACATGTGGAGGAACCACAGCGCTAAACCCCATGCATAGATTATAACATTCACTATTTCATGCTGTTTATATTAATATTTAGACCACGGGAAGTGTTGAGGCTAACTTTAATAACACTAATAACAGGAACCAAACTGGATCATCCTTTAGAACCTGCTGAAAGACACTGCTGTGAGGTGAAGAAGTAGGTGAGATGAAACATACAGTACGTACCTGTAACTGCATCTGTGGATCATTCCGAATGTGCTGGACACACATCTCACCTTCAGGAGATCACGTGATGGTCTAGGAACACATAACTTCTGCTTAGTGTGTTTGTGTCCGGACCAATCAGAGAAGGTTCAATCATTTTCCCAGAGGGTTCAGTCCAACAAGCCATCCAAGGGTCAGATGTTCAGAGGAAACGGATGAGAAGAAGAGGTGAGAAGATTGTCTATGGTTCAGCTAAAAAACTCAAGCGATTCTCAAGTCCACAACGACTCTTCAGTTCTGCTCGTTACTTGATCATCCTGTTGTAGGTTCACTCTCAATTTGCACATGAAAATATGAAAAATATGTCAACTTCAAAAATGAATACTGGAGTTAATTGTTTTTTTTGCAGTTGACTGTACTTCATATATGTTCATATATCAAAGAACATACATATGTATATATACATATACACACACAGGTATATCAAACACTCAACAAGATCACGCCTCTTGGCTGTCCATGTCTTCTTTATGTGAGTGATTGTCTGTCCTATTCTAATAATTGTCCTGTTCATCACACTGCTATTCCATCACACTGTGCAGCAGCTTTTTGTGACATTGGAGCATTTAGGGAACATGGACTCAAAGTCAGCACCAGCATCTTTGTGCTTCTGGTCGGAGACAGGGGACAAAGCGTCAAGCGTATTGTCCTTACAATACGTAACGACACATTGACACAGTCATTTCCAAAATAAACATCGTTGGAAATAAACATGGTCTGTTTAGTCAACATCTGAGATCTTCCTAACAATCAAAATAAATAATACAGCGACTCGGGTCCCATTGCAGAGGTTGTGCCTGGAAGCCTAAACTCAGGGTTACAGACGCACCTCTGTTTGTCCTACCGGGCCACCGTAGCTGTGATGGCGTTGCTGCTTGGAGTCGTGCTGGCTCTTCTACTCGTGTGTTTGTTGTTCACTATCTGACTGTATCGTGTTGTGAGGACTGCTTTGAGCTGTGGAGCGGGAACCAGGGGCCCGGGAACCAGGGGGCCAGTCGCTGTCCTCGTCGTCGCGGGGTCAGGTAGCGTTCACGTTGCTGACGTCACAGTAACTGTAGCATTAAGTTAGTTCGAGCCAGACACCGGGCGACTTATTCAACACTCCACTAGCATCGATTACTGTTTAGCACCGCGCATGCGCGAACAACAAGCACTGGTTTCATGTTGTGCCGTTAGCTCACCTCCTTAGCTTCCGAGCTAACAAGCCGCAGACTGGCGCACATGCGCATCACAAGCTCGATTGCTTCCAGGACCCTGAAGCGAGCTAAAAAGATTGCAGCCAACCCCGGACAAAAACTGTTTGTGCCCCTTTCATCTGGCAGGAGGCTGAGGTCCATCAGGCCAAGATCTCCCCCTACAGAAACATTTTTTTCCCACCAGGAGTTGGTCTCTTGAACCAAGTCCGTGTCCCCCATTGACCCAATTACTTCATTCCCAGAACATTTGCACAGTGGTTTCTCTCACCATGGAAACATATGGATATGCATAGGTGTTTTAAAACGTAACATCAGGAATCAGGAACCTTTATTAAAATATGTCAGACATACAAGTACTTGATCGCATGACTTAATCGCATAGGTTAACTCATTGATGTTGACACCCCTAATATATGGTGTCAAAATCAATGCGTTAATCTATGCGATTAATGTGGTCGAAATTAAGGGAATCAATTATTATAGCGTGCCGGAAGTAAACAAAGTTGACCCCAAAAACAAAACCACTGCTAGCTGCAGTCAGTTTGATTGGAAAGAGCAAGAGGGTAGTTTTTGCATTTGCAAGTAAAAGCCGCGACAACAGAACAGAATGAGATGAGTGGCCAACGGACCACTTTGTTCATACCTGGTGAATTTAGTCAGCAGACCAGAAGGTCCAGAGAAACGGTCTGTCCTCAGGTCTGTGATCTGGATCAAGAAGCTACTATCCTGTGTTGTGCTGACGCTGGTCTTAAACTCGTTAGTCGCTTATCCCCTCAAGCCTCGTTAACAGCTTTAACTAAGAGCTGCTGACACAAGCTGTGCAGAACAATGCTCTGTAGGTTCTAACAAGCCCGGAAAGAGGTCTGTGGTAAAGCTGGAAGAGCACTGACCAACATTAAAGCAACACAACGTAACGTTCTGTTCACAATAAAGTCTAACAGAGAAGAAGAATATATGCTAAAAAAATGTGAATCCACTCAAAGGAAGATTCAGTCTAAATAAAACACTGAAATGTTCGATGAGAACAACAAGAAGTCCCTAGCTAATTCTCAGGTGTGTCTCCAGCTGTGTCTCCGGGTGAGTCTAATTGTGTGTCTCCAGGAATTTCTCCAGGTGAGTCTGCAGTTGTGTCTCCAGGAAAGTCTAACTTGTCTCCAGGTCTGTTTCCAGCTTGGTCTCCGGCTTGTGTTAAGGTGCCTCTCTCCGATATTTTGCCAGCTGTGTCTACAGATTTGTCCAGCATGCATCCCCAGGTGTTGTCCAGAGTCCTGGTGTGTACAGAGGTTTTATTGGATTATTTCCCTTGATCCTACATTTGCAGTCTAAGTGTTCCCCCTGGACTCTCAGTCCTCAGGCTCTTTCCTCATAAGACAGAAGCTCCTTTAAAAAAATGTTGGGACTATTTTTTGTCAAAACCACTCAAATGACTAAATTAAATATTTTTTTAATTCATTAAAACTTGTTTTTATATTTTTATGCTGTTTTTTTATTCCATTCTTCTGTTTATATTTAATATGACAGTCTGAACACACATGTCCCATCCTCTGTGTCACCTTTTTTACTCTTTAATCTCCATGTTTGGTTATCCAATTTTTAATGTGACATTTAGTGGCAAGGCTATTCTGAACTTCTATGTGTTTTTCTCTCTCTCTCTCTCTCTCTCTCTCTCACTCAGCTCATCAGTAATCCCATTAGCAGAGTTCCTCCATAATCCTCCTCTGGGTTCAGATCCTTCAGGTCTTCACAGCGTCTTCACTGCAGCTCTGATGCTGCTGGACCCCGACTGAACACCTCAGGTAGGACAAATGATCCCTAATGTATAGACCTTACACCTCTGTACCTCAACCTTCTACACCTGTACATCTCTACACCTCTTCAACTTCACACCTCAAAGTACATGGCTCAATGGATACAGGCGGTTGCCATAGAGATGCTGCAGAGGACAGTGGATGACTTGTTGTTTAGTTGATCTGAAATGTGAAGTTTTTATTTAGTTCCAGACAGAAATTAATTATATTATTATATATTATAATTCTTTAAGTTTTGTTTTAGGAAAACTGTACCGTCAACACCGTCACATGGAAATCTGAACAACCTGAACTGTGTTAGCTGCGACCTGATGGTCTGATGCAGAGGTCCAACCACCATTACCGTTACATTACCGGTCCGTGGACCATTTGATGCCGAGCCACACCACAGAAAGAATAAATAGATATCTTTTTAGTAATTTTCCTTTTTTTTCAGAAACATGTTTAATTTTGAAAATTCGGATTCTCTCGTACTTACGTGAAATATTTCCAAAGCGTTTTTTTTCCACGTTTACAATTGCCCACTTCTCGCTGCAGACAGTGGACGGGCGACTACACCGCCCCTCAGCCAGTTATTCCTTTGTGTTTATCCGTCACACCTCCAAGACCGGTCTGAGAAATATTTTCTCAAAGGTTGGGGGCCCCTTGTCTGATGGCAAATAAATCTGATTTTGATATTGATCATCGGCCTTGAGTGCCCTGGTACCATGTATACTTTTGAACATCGCTATGTTTGAACATGGAGTTCATCATAGAAAAAACATGACGCCTCTCCAGGTGTCTCCATCATTCCCAACGTGTGCAGTTAAGTCTCCCAATGAGACTATGGAGTCCCCTACTGGAGCCCCGTGCCTCCCATGTCACAGTGCACACAACTCAATCGGTTTCCCCCATGTTTGGTGAGCCAATGGGAGGGAGAGTAGGGGGCAAGCTCGGCCATTAGACATTTGCCATTGAGCCCTCCATCTATCACTCGCTCCGGATAGGGGCCCTGGCCTTGTCAGCCCACTGCTAACTTCATTCCTTCCTACAGATATGCTAAACTGGCTGAAGTCGGTAAACTGTCAGGGGGACATCTGAAACCATCAGTTATAAGAGAGGAGACGGATGGAGAGAGGGAGGAATCGGAGGCGAAAGAAACGGAAAGTTAATACTCACGTTTCGTAGTCGCTAACGTTACCCCTCCTTCTCCCCCACTCTCTCGTCTTGCTGCTAGTGATGTGTCATTCGTGAACGATACAAGGACTCAAGAGTAACGAGTCCTCTCAAAGAGAGATTTGTTCATTTTCTCGTGGCCATGCATTGGGACTGTTACATAGGCTCAATCAAGAAAACAGAAATGATTCGTTCATTGATTTGTTCATTTCCCAACTGGATACTACTGAGCCTACGCAGGTCACGTGAAAAAGGATCCAGAGACTGATACCCGGCAGATGAATCATTGATCCGAAGAGACGGTCGGCAGGTGAACGATTTGTTCATCTGCCGGGTATGAGTCTGTGGATCCTTTTTCACGCGACCTGCATAGGCTCAGAAGAGGAAAGAGAAAGGATTTGTTTACCTCATTCACTTTTGCGTGACTATAGGCAAGGCAAGGCAGTTTTATTTGTGTAGCACATTTCAACAACAAGGCAATTCCTAAGTGCTTCACATAAAACCATTAAAAACATCCAACATAAAGCAAGGATATTTATAAACAGTTAAGAACATTGAAACATAAAAGAAAAACACTCAATAAAGATTAAAAAAGACGTTAAAAGATTTGAAATAGAATAAAATTTGCAGTGTAATTTAAGAATGTCTTTTAGAATTCCGACTTGCAGAAACGGTCAATTAAAGGTAGCAGCAAACAGAAAAGTATTTCACCAGGATTTAAAGGAGCTGAGGGACAGACCTACAGCTTTCTGTTCCAGATATGTGGAGCAGAAAAACTGAACGCTGCTTCTCCATGTTTAATTCTGACTCCGGGAACGTAGACCAGTCCTAGACGACCTAAGGTTTCATGGCGGTTCATGAGGTATCAGCAGATCAGAAAAGTACTTTGGCCCTAAACCATTGAGTGCTTTTTAAACTAGCTGCAGGATATGGGGTGCAAACTCGTCATTCTGCATCTAATCTGCAATAAAAATATTTTTGGGGGGAGGTCCTATAAGTAATCTGCGAACACAAGCTGTCATGAATATTTTTTCAAGCTTGTTCGGAGAGGGTGTAAGCAGGTCTCTCAAATGAACAGCCTCTGGTGTGTTAGATCAAGGTAAGTAGAAGTCAGCAAATCAGATCCGTAACTTCGGGATAAGGATTGCCTCTAAGGATGATGCGACCGACAGGGGGTGACGGATGCTACAGCCGACGGGCGGGGGCGACATGGCCGACGGGGGGTGGTGTCACGGACGTTACGGGACTGGAGGGGTGCTCGGGAGCTGCCTCCACCAAATAGACACTCCGTCAAGAGTCCCGCCCTCCCCTGACTCTGGTTTATTTCAGATTCACGGGCAATCAAACCAACGATGGCAGCGAGTATTACCCAATATGGGGCCGAATAGTATGATGCTCTGACAACAGCTCGGAAAATACGGGACAAACCCCATCCCGTATTGATTCAAACCGGACGCTTTATTTTACTCTCAAATACGGGACGATTCTGTATTTTAAGGGACGGGTGGCAACCCTAGGTGGCGCTGACGATCCGAACGGTCCTGCCGGCGACGGGCCGCACCAGATGTGGCCCGCGGGCCGCGAGTTTGAGAAGTATGAGCTAAATATTATTAATAACAATAATAAGTAATAATACTACCATAAATGAGCAAACTGTTATTTTATTGGTCCAATTTTATTGTAGCTATAAATAGGCTCTGTTTGTTATTGTGGTTCGGGGGTGCATGAACGAGGTCGGGATGTAGAAGGGGGTGCATGGGCTAAAATGTTTGGGAACCGCTGCCCTAACAGGAGCACTAGGTTCCAGACAACACAGTCCTCAAATCTCTTCCACCATAAGGTGATGGTCTTCGGAGAGTGACCATCTTATCCTCAGGTGTCTTTTCAAAATGAAATGTTGTCTGCACAAGAATCAAAGTTTAGGCCACTAAACCACTTAGTCCCATTCACGAAAAGGTGGTGAATAAAATTAATTGAATTAACATGATTGACAGTCTATTGACACTAATGACTCTCTTCACCGGTGACACAAATAACTCATGTGACCAGTGACAGTAAGGACTGTCGTGGCTAGTGACTCAAATGACTCTATTCATTAGGTAGGGACACAAATGACTTTCGTCACTAATAAATCACTTTGCTAGTGACACAAAATGACGTTAGTCAAGATGGTAAAATTATTTATTTTTGTAAAAACACATTTCATTTTCAATCCCTAATTCCATTTAAATTGGAAATTGAATGTAATTTAATGTAATGACACAAACTCCACCAGTTATTATTAGATTAGTATGTGTTACAGTTACAGTTACAGTGTAACAAGTTCTAGCAGTGACTGTTTGTGTGTTGGTTCTTTGAGGATGTTAAGCTGGGTGGTCAAGGTGGTTCCTCAGATGCCTCAACCTTCAACAGTAGGAGAGCAGAAAGAGATGAATCCAGACATGCCCCTTCCCACAACCACGGTTAGTCACGCCATCTAAATATTCAAGCTTTTGTTATATTTGTGTCTTAAAGCCATAAAAACGTTGTTTAACATTCCTCTTGTGTTATGGTCGGCACCAACCCGTTTTAGGTTTTAAATGCATAAAAGAATCACATGAATTTGTTTATTGCATCAAGGCCTTTTGACTTTGTCAGGAATCTCTATTTCAATAAAATATAACATTTTTTTTCACTAAATTATAAAATGCTGTGGTTGAAATGATTACCTTTAGTAGGTTTTTGTGACCTTTATGTTGTTACGTTGTATAATACTTGTACAAAAAAATTATAAGTGCACTGTCAGCCAAGACACTTGACAGCCTGCTCCTCTCCCAATCATGTGAGCTTTAGGGGATTTTAATTTTGCCTTGTTATCTAGTATACCAGCACACAAAAAAACAACAACCATGTGAGGTCAATTCAGTATAGAATTGGTGAATTTCAGAGTCACCAACTGACAAAGAAGAGGTCCAAATCAAAAATATTAAATGAATATTTTCATGGATAAGGAAGCCTATCAAGTTAAATAAGAGACGAGAAACAAATCGGATGATAGATTGTTTTTTTGTAGTTTACAGATGATATAAGACATTAGAAATGGTAAAAGAAAGTAGACACACAAGAGGAAGGTTACGTTAATAATCCAATAAAACAACAAAAAAATGCTTTTAAAAAAACACAACGCTATCTTAGTTATTTTTGCCAAACACATGAAAAAACTCCTTTGATTTTTCCCATTATAATCCTGAGAATTTCTCCCACTCCACGACTAATAAAGGATTATCATATCTTATTATACATTATTATATTTTATAAACCTGTGTAAGATGACGTGATTTTATGTTTTCAGGAAAGGAAAGTCAAATTTCAAGATGAGTGCAAAAATGAAGGTAAGACACAAACCTAGTGAAGTGAAGAAAGTGTTTCAGTTTGGTTTGGTTCTTAATACAAAAATAAACAATCATCATTGTTTTATTCACAGCTCAGAAAACTAACAAACCCGAGCAAGAGGTTCTGGCAACAGAAGAGTATAAGTGAGTTATTTATGACATCCATGTAAAATTCCTTGTATGTCTAACATATTTTGGCAATAAATGTTCCTGATTCCTGATGATAAGCGACGTAAGTATAGTTCACTAACACAAAGTCAGGCTTTCTTCTTTAAACAAATATACAGTTTTTTGGTATATACATATTTATTGTATAGAAATTTGGAATGCTTTTATGATTGTGTTTCTTCAGATTACCCTAAAAAAAATGTGATGTGAGTAGAGAATGAGAAGTGGGACAAGCAAATGTGTGGGTGGCACAGCAAGAAGGTCCTGGGTTTCACTCCGCCCAGTGGCCTTTCTGTGTGGAGTCTGCATGTTCTCCCCGTGTCTGCGTGGGTTCTCTCCGGGTTCTCCGGCTTCCTCCCACAGTCCAGAGACCTGCTCTGGAGATCAGGTTGATTGGGGACTCTAAATTGCCCGTAGGTTTGTGAATGTAAGTGTGAATGGTTGTTTGTCTCTGTGTAGCCCTGCGATTGGCTGGTGACCAGGAATCAGGAAAATGTATTGCCAAATCTGCGCATCTGTGCAGAAACTCACACAATCCTCCCACTTCAGTCCATGTACGGTCAGGTAACTTGTTCAGAAGCCTAAAGAGCTCATCAGTTGTTGCTCAGCCTGCACCGTATTTGTGAATCCTTACTGATGATCCTGGTGGAGTAAATGTCCTGTAGTGAGGGGAAGATTCCTCCTGCAATGAACTGTGCTAGTTTTATCACACGCTGGAGTGTCTTCCTGTCCTGGGCAGTGGAGTGTCCATACTACACGGAGATTGATGTGGGGAGGACGCTCTCGACCGTACCTCTGTAGTAGGTGGTATCATCAGCAAACTTGAGGATACTGGTGTTTTCCTGGGAGGCCACATAGTTGTATGTGAAGAGGGTGTACAGCAGGAGACTCAGCCCTGGGGTTTCCTGTGCTCCCAGTTCTTGGAGGTGACCAGGTGTTTGTGGTCTGCCTGAGACGACGTTCAGCACCCAGTTGGAGAGGGCAGCTATCAGACCCATAGTGAGGAGTTTTACTGTGAGTCTGTGTGGGATGACTGTATTAAAAGCTGAGGTGAAGTCTATGAAGAGCAGTCTTGCATAGGTGTCCTCGCCCTCTAAGTGCGTGAGATTCGAAGAACAACACTCGACTCGACCAGGGACAAAAGACACACATGGCCTAAATACACTGGGAAGGTGCAGGTGTTTGGACACAGGTGGAAACAATCAGGGACATGGCAGACAATCACAGGGGGTAAGACGACAGGGCAGGAAGTAACTAAACCAGGGACACAAGAGACAGGAAACTACAAAATAAAACAGGAAGCAAACCCACACTGTGACAATATAAGTTGAAAATATTGTGTTTTTCATTTATTATTTTTAATTTCATAAATCATTTTGGCGAAGGGTGATCTTTGGTGTGAGCACTTTAGGGCTGTCAACGAATATTCTACATTCGAATATATATTCGAATAGTTGTCCCTGGTCGAGTTGTTGAAAACAACTATTCGAATGTGAAAATGAATATTCGAATGTAGAATGGCGGTGCGGCTGTCTGCTTAGCGGGTTGGCGCGCGCCAGACTACTGACTGTATGTTGCATGAATAAAATAGACTAGATGGGCTACAACAGCTTCATGCACTGGTTTGATTATTTGCCGTTTCATGCCAAGGAAAAGTTCCGTGTTTACAGCACAGCTCGCTCGGAGCGTTCAATGTCGGTACTTTCAGTTTCAATCACTGAATGAAGCCTGACATATTTGGGACAAGAATCGCGACCTTAAATTGCACAAAAGAGAGATCGTGGTCATTAGTTAATTTACTTATTTTTGTGCAGGTAATATGTTGGTAAATAGGTTTAGACTTTAATAAATTACTTACACAAGTAGTTATGTCTCGTTGTATAAATTTGCCCTGTTATTGACGCGCCTAATGCGCAACCGGATATTTGAATATATTCGAATATCTGTCTTTTTTTAAAGCGAATACTCGAACGTCCTTTTTGAGCAATTTTGACAGCCCTAGAGCACTTGCACCCCAAAATGTCTGTGCACGTGACTGGTGCCTACCCTCTTACCGACATCACCGCAACACACTGATTGGGTGTTTCTCCAACAAACTAGGTCAATATATATACATGTTCTATTAGATTTTATAGAAATATATTCATATTTTAATATATTTTGTCCTTATGATATTCATGATATTTATATTGTATATTTTTTAATAGTTCCGATATGGTAGTTATATCATATACTAAATATTGTTTTATGTATACAGTTATATATATTCATTAATATGCTGAATTGCATGAATAAGATGTTAAGCTGTTGGAATAAATGTTAAATATTTAACTGCAAAGTAATAATGCGTGTTTGATACCTTTATTTATTTATTTTTCTTTTCATTGAATCCTACTGGGATGTTTACTAAAACTGATTGACGGGCCCTACCAAAAAAAAAACGCGACCAGCCGCCACTGTTACTGGGGGTGCTTGCTTGAGGTGTTGTCTGTACGCTGGGTGGAGGATCGCTGAGATGTGGTTGGACAGTCCAAAGTCTTGCGTGGGCACAGCCCGGTGGGCTCCCTTCACGTTGCTGTAAACATCCAGAGTGTTGTTTTCCCTGATGGTATTTTCGGAGGAGACGCTTAAGGTTATGGTGGTTGAAATCTTCGACTGCAACAAACACAGCGTCCAGATGTTCAGTCTCATGTTTACTGATGACGTCATGCAGCAACCCCAGACACACTGCACTGAACTCTCTTGGTAGGTAGAACGGTCTGCATTTAACCATCAGCAGTTCAATACTGACCACCAGTACGTCCAAACACCACCCGTTGTTTATGTAGAAACAGACGTCTCCACTTTTCATCTTTTCTGAGGCTGCTCAACGGTCCCTGTGACGTCTTGTCAACAGGGAATTAGATGGGAGAGAAAAGGAAGGAGGTCAGGAGCAATGGAGAAATATGAGACGTGATGGGGTCAAGGGTGCAGGTGTTTCGACGGGCCGACGTTACCAAGGCGAGAACTTGGAAAGTGAGGAAAGTTGGGAGAGGAAAGTGAAGGCGATGAAGATGAAGTGGATGTAAATGTAGTCACAGAAGGAGAAATAGAGGATGCGGTCATGGGTCGGTTGGATTTGTGCCATTTCCTTTCTGCTGCTTGAATTGTGGCTCTCCCATCGCACACAAAGTCGGACAACCACAGACATGCAGACCTGCTGAGGAAGGCAGGATGGAAAGTGGAGTGTCTGTGGCAGAGTTAAGATGCATCTGTTGAAGGGAGGGCTGAAAAGACAGGAGGGAGGGAGGGAGCCAATGTTACAACGGGCTGATACAGAGTCAAGTGATGTGTTACTGATGTTTACTGCTCTTTCCTCTGTGTTCTTACATCTCTCTGGGCGACAGTAAACCTGAACAAGAGTGAGTATTAATGACCTCTGAATTAACCCATCAGCAGACATTCTGCCAAATACTGAGCTGTAGCATAAAGTCATTTAGAGGCTAACTGCCAAATAGTGAGCTGCTAGACGTACACATTATAAACAAATGTTGAAAGCATAGCAGCAATTTTGTTGATCACAGAATCCTCGTCATTTTTGACGTATAGATAGATGGATAGATAGATAGATAGATAGATAGATAGATAGATACTTTATTGATCTATTGTATCACCAACCTCTGGATGAGTTTCTGGTCCTCTGGAGGCCCAAGAGATCAATGCTTTTTTCTGTTGTCTTTTATAATAATAGAGGGTTGATGGCTTGGATCGCTGAGGGTTTGGAGAAAGTAGTCCCTCAGCCTGATGTAAAGAGGAAGGGGACACCAGCAACTCAAGAGCCGGCTAAGGTACATGAGTATCACCACAACTGATAGTAGTCAGGCAAACGATTCAGCCGACCGGGGGGGGCCCACATGCACTTACTTGTGACATAATAATGTAGTGGAAATCCGGAGAAGTGTATGAAACTCAAGATCCCGGTCACCTCAGCACCGGCGGGTGTCTCCGCTCCACTGCGAGCAAAGAGGAAAGGGAGTACGGAGCGGTGCATAGAAAACCCGGCGCACAGGTCGGCAGTCCGCTAATCAATAGTCCTACGGGTTGACTTTCTCAACCTATGTAGTCAACTTAGAGAACTCTCAATTGTCACTAATCACGACTGTCACGGAGTAAATACCACGCGGAACGTATTTAATCTCCCAATAAAGTTGATCTTATCTCTGGCTCGGAAATACCGAAGATAATTTGGACTCGGCTAAAAGCGGACCACATCTTCTCAACGCCTGGAGCTCCTGAAGACGTCTCTGTCCCTCCCCGGGTGTTATGAGGTGTAGTTACCGCTCGTCCCCCTCGTCGGAGGTCGGTGCGTCTCAATGAAGAAGCTTTTCAAAAAACTTCAAAGGTTCAGAGCAAACTTGGTTTTATTTACTTCAGAACAACAATTCAGATTATAACAAGTTATAGAGAAAAAAGGATAATACAATGTCAAACAAAAACGGAGATAAAAGTGTTGAGAAGTAAGGAAAAAGTCTGAAGATCGGAATCTGCAGCTTCTCCATCATCGTCCAGCAAAAAACATGAACCACCTCACAAACCAACAATCCAAAAACCACACCGGTTCTCCTGTAAAACTGTCCCCTTTATAATACCAGAAACTGGACTCAAATCTGCAATAACATTCTATGACCAGAATTGCACATTTACATTTAATACAGTGTAACATTCTTCACAGAATTCATTAAACTGGCAAAACAGTTTAAAATGGAATTCACGTCAGCCCTCTGTCCACACTGCACTCAGAGCTACAGTCACACCAGTTCCAACACTTATATATAAATAACTTGATCAGTAACAGTGTTCCTGGGCCGCCTTGCCCCATTATCTCCCTCAGTGTGCTTACTAAGAGACATTTCTACAATAAACGTACTCCCCGTGGCCCTAACTATCCCCAAGAAAACTTCTCACTAAGGTTTATTCCGTTTTTTCCCCATGGAAAGATTTTTCATTTGTTGGGGAGGTTTTCCTGTGCTAATGTGAGGGTTTTGGGACGGAGGATGTCGCATGTGTACAGACTGTAAAGCCGTCTGGGGAAAACTTGTAATTTGCATTTTTGGGCTATACAAAATTTAAAAAATGAAATTATATTAAAATATTGCCCAGTGGGGAACGTTGATGTTGGATTATATCTCAATAGGAAATATAACCCCCACCCCCATCACTTACAATACCACCACTCCATCTGGTCATCTTTTGCTAGCTTTTTGAAAACATGACACCAGCCATCCTATCGATTACTAAAATGTATAATTGTAGTTATTTTATTTGTTCTACTTTTTGCCTGAAAGAAATTGAACCCACGTACACACATACACGTAGACATATACAATTGTTATTTAATTTGCACTCCCTTATGTTTTTCATCTCAAAAGGGCTTGGGCACACACACACCTACATACACATATACGCACCATCTGCCCTACACCATATGTTTGTTGGTTTGTAGTTGACGGTTTTGTTCCTCCCTTGTTGTTGTATCTATGTATAGTTCCTTAAAATAAAAGTTTTTAAAAAAAGTGCAAATAATTAGTTATTAGTTAGTATAGTCATTACTTTAGACACTGAGTCCAATTAACCTAACCTGAACCAAACCATAATGGCTGTGATATTCATTTTATTTGTTAATAAATAAATAAAAGGGTTACTATGGGAACTACACATGCCATGATTGACCTTACCTAATGAATATTTGTATAGGAAACAGATGGCATTAAAAACTATAAATCAAGTTTCTCCTTTAATGTCTGCCTGTCTGTTAGTCATATTACCTTGTGGCACGTCATTTCACCCTTTGGCTGGTCATGTGACCTTGTGTGTTGGTTTCTTCTCAGGTATATCAAACATCAGCTGCAACAGGTGAGAACTGATCACACTGTTAACATGAATTAATTTGTTCTTTTAATAAATTAATGACTGTCTTTCGGGTGCAGAGCTTCAAGTCACTGATGTGGAGGCAAGATCAATCGGAGAGGACAACAAGCCAATCCCACCCAGGTGTGTGTGTGTTTAGACATGCTGTAGACCTGATATCCACTCTCCTCCTTCCAAGAAGGAATGATGTTGATCAGAAAACAGCAGGTAAAAACATCAGCTCGGTGATGGGATCTGAGGTCTGTTAACCTGCAGCCACTTGTAAACCAACCAAAAGGTGTTTTTAGAATAGATAGATAGATTGATACATTATTGATCCCTCAAGAGGGAAATTTTGATATCACAGCAGCATGTACAGGGAAGAAAATATAATAAAAAGATACACATTATATGCAATATAAGATCAAATATAAAATTATAAAATTAAATTATATTGAAACATAAACTAAACTGAAACAAAAGAATAACCTTCAAAAAGAGACAATATTTGTAAAAGGAGAAGAGGAAGAGCAGCAACATCACAGCAGTACAGGGTTATTATTGTCATTATTTAGCCAGGGATGGTTTATTGTAGAGTGTTATTGCACTGGGCAGGAATGACCTCCTGTATCGGTCCTTGTGACAGCGGAGCTGAAGGAGTCTGTTGGAGGACGTGCTCCGCTGTCCCTGTAGCAGAATAAACTGACAGTGAGCCAATTTGACGGGAAACAAGAGTGAAGATGAATTAAATGAAGAGCTTTGAAAAACAGAATATTACAGAATGTAAAAATATATATTGGTAAATAATCACAATCATTTCTGTCACACTGTTGTTTTAAAGGCCTCCAGACAAGTATTGTTTTGGTAATATCTGGAATATCTCAACATGTTATTGTGTGTATATGTTGATATTATTTGTGTGTATGTTTGACATACAGAATGATGGATTGGATCAAACACGGGTTAGAGAAGGTGGTTCCTCAGCCTCAGACTCATGTTCCGTCAAAGACTGAAGTCAACCAGAAGCCTGAAGCTCCCCCTGAAGGTTGTCTTTAGATTGTTATGACACAGGTTCACCTCAAAAATGTCATAAGATGTCTAACCTGAGACTCTCCTGGTTCTCTCAGCAGCAGAGGCTCCACCTCCAGAACCGGCTCCAGGACCAAAACCATCGGTTGATAATGAAAAGTTAGTAAATGTTTCTTCCCCCCCGCTCCCCCGTCAGCTGGTTCCGATCCGTTCCAGGGGACAAATTTAAATGTCTTCAGAATCAGAATTGTATTTATTGTTTTTAAATACACATTAACATGAATCCATATTGTAGCGAACAGATAAATTGATGGAGAAGATGTTATCTTCCGCAATACACACATTCAGCTTCCCACAGCAGCTCTCACGCTGGGCACCGGTTCACTCACAGCTCCTTTCATGCAAATACAACAGCACAGCCAATCAGATCGCGTTTATGCTCACGTCTAAAGAGCGTGAAGCTCAAAAATAAAAGATGGTGGACCAAACTGCCTAGAATAGAGGGTCCCTACTCCATCTCGCCATCAGTTTGGCGGACCGTGGGCTGAAAAACATTGAAGACCCCTGACCTAAAGGATCAGAGGCTCTACCTGAAGGATATACTCTATTAGACCTAAATTATCAGATGATCTACTCCGTTAGACCCGCAGATTGTACTCTGACGGACCTCTAGGATCTGAGGATGTACTCTGTTGGACCTGAAGGATCTACTCTCTTAGATTTGCAAGATCAGATGATCTACTCTGATAAGCCTGAAGAATTAGAGGATCTACTTTGAGCTCAGACTCCCCACAAATGAGATGCACGTACCCTTGATTCTGTGTCCATCACTGTTGACCTGATCCTCTATCTCACCCTGAATGGGGAACCAGACGCAGAGATACTTCAACTCCCTTTCTTAATAAACTCTCCCATGATGTCTGAGGAACTTAATGAACCTTGTTCTCCCTCACAGAGTCCAGCGCTGATGTCCAAAAGTTTTTTAAAAAGTCTTCCAACTCTCATATATTCAGAATTGCTAAACATTGGCTGTGATGGTTGTTTGGAAATGCTTAACCTCAACAGCATGTACAACCTGAGAATGAGGGTCTAGGTTTAGGGTGTTTCAGGTCTGATGTGGTCTAACACATCGCCGTTGTGTCAACAGTATTATGGGATGGATCGTCAGCGGGTTCGGGCGCATGTTGCCTCGGCCGGTACTGAAGACGGTGAGTCGCAGCAGAGTAATGTTACACATACGATTCGTGTTTAGGACATCAGATTAATACGTTGTCTTAACACAATGTCATAACACAACATCAAAAAACAACATCATACCGGTAAATGAAACCACGTCGTCGTAACGCGCGTTCGTAACCTGTGTCCTCCTCATTCAGGAGGCGGCCGGTGACGAGGTGCAGAACAGTGAGTAGAACTTCTTCTCTAGGTCACGTCTGCTGAGAAACAGCATCAAGCTGCTATGATTTCTGGGTAATTTCACTCAGATGTTGGCACCGGGCTTTTCTTTATGTACAAATAAAAGATGTAGATAATAAACAGCTTAACTAAGATGTAAATAGGAGAATGTTTTATAAATTCGGAGGAGCAGCTTTAGTAGCATCATTGTTAAAAAGAGGAGAATCATTCTTGATTCGCTAAACAATTGGTAAATAAAACTGAATGATTTACCGAAACAAATAAAATGGTTTCGGTAAATCAATCATGACCCTAACTTGAACTATTGTTTCTTTACAATCGGAATCAGAATCTGCTTTTTTGGTCATGTATACTTACGCATTCTGTGTATGCATACACACATTTGATTTAATTTTTTACAAATAAAACAAGAAAATGTAAAAAAATTCAAACAAGGACAAAAAAAAGAGATCATCTTGTTATTCAAACCATATTTATATAAACTTATCATGTGTGTGTGTCAATAAACTGTGACATCCCAGTTGGGTGCGGGCCAGGTGCACAAACATATGATGAATTGAAGGGTTGATGGATTGATGTATTGATGGATTGATTGAGAGATTGGTTTATTGATGGGCTTTGCTTGCTGTGTATTGATTAGCAGTCGTAGGTGTCAGTGATGAGCAGGACTCTAACCGCACTGCTCTTCTCCTTCTGTTTCAGGGAAATCTTTAAAATAAAAGGAGAAGGAAGAGCAGGAGTTTTTTACACTGACAGACACTGAATGACAGACACTGAGAGAAGGACATGCCAACTAAAGGACAGATACCAAGTGAAGGACAGACACACTAATGGAGGTGGAGACTGAAGGACAGACACTAACTGAAGGACAGTCACACTAAAGGACAGATGGACTGAGGGACAGACACTGACTGAATGAAAATTCATGAATCTAAATATGTGTTACTCCCAGAACGGTCGGTTTTATCCAATAATAAAAAAGATCTGGGGAAATTATTTTTAACCAAAGATGATTCAAACCTTGAACATAACACAAGTTATATATGGAATCGGACTCTGTATATAGTTGCTTTTTTAAGGTATTTTGCTGATGTAATAAAGGCAGCAAATAAAAATATGCACTCACCAAATCTTTTTGCTGTATTTTTATTGAAATAAATAAGCTGTGGGGGAATATTTATTAGTGTTTTGTTCGTACTGTTGGTTTGTAACATAAGTACGTTGTGAAAAGAAATCACTCAAGAATCAGTCAATCAATCCATCTATCACAATCATCAAATGTCCAAACCTGTCAGTTATTGTCTGTCAGTCTGCATTGGAAACCTTGTGTTTGCATATCGTTGTTTTTTTTATAATGATTCTTACTAACTCTCCTTTAATTCATCTCTTAATATTCAAAACAAATGAATCTAATAATTCTTATTGACTCAGATTGGGATTTACTACAAAACAATAGACAAAGATAGAATTATAAATTATCTTCAATCTGTGACATGGATTCATGATTTCCAGTTATGGTTATTAATGCAAAATACACACACATATATATACAGTGCCTTCCATAAGTATTCACCCCACAAGGACTTTTCTACAATGACCACAGATTCAAGTTAATTTCATTTAGATTTTATGTCATTTTAATTCAAAAGTGTTGAGTCCATATGTATTCACTCCCTTTACTGTAAAGTGGTGCCACCATTTGCATTCACAAGTTACGTAATCAGCAGACAGGTTCCACCTGCAATTTAATTTCAGTGTAAATACACATGTTCTGTGGAGGCCTCAGAGTGTGTTAGAGAGCATTACTGAATACTTGTTCATCCAACAGATGTCAACTTTTTTGTTCTCATTATTGTTGGTGTCACAATAAAAAGTATTCTGCACCTTGGAATCATTATGCATGTTGTGTTGATCGAATAGGAAAAAGTCCAAGGGGGGTGAATACTTCTGCAAGAAACTGTTTGTGTATATGCATGTTTCTGTGTGTGTATATATATAATAGAGATCATGCTTAGCCCTGCTCTTCTGACGTGTGGCATTCAGTCAACATTGTACAGAATAAGACGGACCTGGTGCTGGAGGACATGGGACAGGAGGATGAGGATAAAGGGACCAATCAGAGGGAAGATGTGGTAAGTAAACCCCGACTCTGAGCACAAAACCTACATAAACATAATACTATGGTACTTTAGAGGGTACTGGGATGAGTACTATCACACAATGTTGGTACAAGGACTGATTGGTTACCATGGTGACAATGGCATCTATATTCAGTACTGTTTTTCAGAAATTTCTGAATATTTCTTCAATCAGTTAGAATATCCATGTAATAGCCGTAACCATTACTCAAGGAATGCTTAGATCACATGATACCTCCTAGCCCAAGAACAAACCTCCTCAGACATCATTTATCTTTTGTGCAATTAATGCTTGGACTTTACTACCTCCTCATAAAGGTAATATTCTTTTATTTAAAAAAAAAGGTCATTGACGTTTTCCATTGCTTTTGATTTTAACTGATCCCTCTTTGTAAATTACAGATGCACTGGACAATAGATCCAGTGTATCCTCAACTCCCAGTCCTCCACTGTATTATGTATTAGACTGTATTATTGGTTGTTATTATTATTTATTTTTATTCTGTTTGTAATATTTTTAACTGTTTCACGTCATGTTCTGCACGTTTTGTATGTATTGCTTTTTGTCCTTTCTCTGGACACCAGGAAGGCATCAGCTAATGGTGATCCAGTAACTAAATAAATAAACAAATACTCAAACTGAAGTGTTACTTGTCTCTCTTGGTTGGTTGCAGGCAGCAGATACACCGTTGACACAGGTGGATCGAAGCTCTCCACCCATTGACAGCATGAAGAAGGAGGCTGGAGACCAAGTTCTAGCCCACATGGAAGACAGGTTACTGACCCCTCACACAATGTTCGGGGACAACACCATGGCTTTGTACCTCTATCTGAGACCTCACTGTTGTACAGACTGCAGCAGGAGCGTCTGCTGGAGGCAGCCCGCGTGGCAGAGGAGATGGCCAGGAAGGCCGCAGAGGAGGCAGCCCAACAGCTTGGGGTGGAGCATTCGGCCAATATCACCATGGAAACGCTGCCAGAGTCCAACGAGCAGTAAGTCACGTACACATGTGGTATACCAAACATTTTTGACAAAAAGCTGAGGTATCTCGTGATGTAGGTTGATTATTTTTTGGCTGAGTCTTAATAACAGTAACATTTACACTAAAGGTTCACACAGAGACACTGTGTTGTTTTCTGTTCTCAACAGACTGCCCAACATCCTCGAAGAGGAAAATGAGGATGATCCAGAGTAAGTCCATCTCCAAGTAGAAGGTCATTCGTCAATTTTCTCTTTGATAGTCACAATCTTCATTAAAGAAGTTCATGAAGTCGTTACTACTGAGGTCCAAAGGAATACACGGCTCGACAGAGCTGTGACTCTGTCAGTCTGGATTCAGTGCTGAAGAGACACCTCGGGGAGCTTTTATTTTTTTCGCTAATAATGATGAGTAACAAGATGCTCTTGCATAACAGAGACCCTTATTACATGCTTTAAGGCTGTCTCGCCAAACTAGCTCAAATTCTTCAAAATTAAAGTTTCCGCACGGTTTGCTTTAAATTCTGGGTTTGAGGGTTATACCAATGAGCAAACTTGTTACCATTCTCCTTTCTAGAGGAGCAATAGCATCCAGCGCCATTCTCAAATAGCCTGTAGCACTGTCGACAAGATGATCGATATGGGATAGACCAGATCTTTGAGCTCCCATTGTCTCATGACTCTGATTGCATTTGACCATCAGAGGTTGAATCATATCAACTTTGGTAATCTGGCAAGTTAACATTACATTTACATTACATTACATGTCATTTAGCTGACGCTTTTATCCAAAGCGACTTACAATAAGTACATTTCAACCATAAGGATACAAACTCAGAAGAGCAAGAAGTGCAATTTCCTCAAATAAGCCAATTTACAATTTGGTATAGATAAGTGGCATTACAAGTAGTTTAGTCGAGATAGAGTCTGAAGAGGTGAGTCTGAAGAGGCGGAAAATGTGAATGCTCTCTGTGGTCCTGGTGTCATCAGAGAGCTTGTTCCATCATTTAGGAGCAGGAAGCAAAGAGTGGTGATCTAGTCGAGTTTTGCTCTCAGTGAGGGAGGGACGAGCAGTTTTGCAGATGCAGAGCGGAGAGTGCGGGTTGGGATGTAGGGTTTGACCGTGTTCTGGATGTGAGCTGGACCCCATCCATTCACAGCACGGTACGTGAGCACCATGTTTAGAACTGGATGAGCCACCGGTACCAGTGAAGAGAGCGGAGGAGTGGAGGAGTGTGGGAGAACTTCGGAAGGTTAAAGACCAGTGGAGCTGCTGCATTCTGGATGAGCTGCAGAGGTGGAATGGCGGTAGCAGGGAGACCTGCCAGTAGTAGTTGCAGTAGTCCAGGCGGGAGATATTCTCATACCATATCAACATATTCTCTTACAATTGATAAACCACAGGGACATTAATCTAATGAAACCTATGAGACATCTACATGGAGCGGCATAGAACAACTCATTTATGGTTCCCAGAGGATGTAAGTTGTTGGTGAAGTCTTTACCCCAACTTAATGCCATCACCAACCGTACCCAGCAGGTCAGGGTGAACAGGACCTTGTCTGAATCCTTGACCATCAACACCGGCGCCCCCCAAGGGTGCGTCAATCCTGTTCACCCTGTACAGTACACTAATGAATGTACCTGCAGTACTGCTAACAATTATATGATAAAGTTCTCTAATGATACAGCCATCCTGGGTCGCATGTCTGATACATCAGATACAGCTGTATTCAAGCACAAGATTCAGAATTTTTGTTGAGTGATGCGACAAACACTTCATCCTCAATGTCAAAAAAACGAAAGAGATGGTATTCGACCCCAAGGCCCATGGTTATCCATGAGCGGAACATAGCACAAGTCGACTCTTACAGATACCTGGGCATACACATCGACAACATACTGACATGGAGTGTTCAGGTATAAAATGTCTGCTCTAGGGTCCATCATCGGCTACACTTTCTCCGTACGCTAAGAAAGTGTTGTTCGTCTTCTACCACGCCATAGTTGAGAGCATCCTGCGGTTTGGTGACCTCGGTGTGAAGCTGAAAGCCCAGATCACCGGGCTAACACAAAGCCATGAAAGTTATGGGGGTCAGACAGCATCCTGTCTTTGATGGAACCATCATCAGACAGGCCCAGAACATTACTTCAGACCCCACCCATGTCCTCCACCTTGAATACCACCTCCAGCCTACAACTCATATCTCCTCAGAGCGGTGTGTGCGTGTTCGTTTGTTTGTTATATTTGCTATTTCTGTATCCAGTGGCAGTTTGTCACATTTACCCACCTGTAAGTTATACACAACTGAATGTATTATCCTGTTAATCCTCACACTAAAATAAATATAAAAAGATTTATATAATACATTTCTATTGCGACAATAAAAAATTGATTTATTCATCTAAAAAAGAACATTAGAGCAGTTGTCAAAGGGCTTTTTCAGAAATATAGGACATGAAGGCATGGATGGGGAAAGTTAAATAAAATAGTTTCAGCTAAAGAAGCAAACTGAGTCTTAATCTTCTACTTCTTCTCCTCTAAATGTTCATCTAGCTTTCAATATCGCCCCATAGATCTTCTGTGCCAGTGCATTGAGCAAATCAAAGACTGGATGTGTCAAAATTTCCTACAACTAAATGAAGACAAAACTGAGATCATTGTATTTGGTGCTAAAAAAGAAAGGTTTAAAGTAACCCAACACCTTCACTCTCTGTCCCTGAAAACATCAAATAAAGCCAGAAATCTGGGGGCTATTATGGATTCAGATTTACACTTGGAGAGTCACATCAAATCAGTAACAAAATCGGCCCACTACCACCTCAAAAATGTAGCACGACTTAGAGGGCTCATGTCAGCTCAAGACTTAGAAACAATTGTACATGTCTTTATAACTAGTAGGCTAGACTATTGTAATGGTCTCCTTGCAGGTCTCCCAAAAAAAACTGTCAGGCAGCTCCAGCTTGTTCAGAACGCTGCTGCTAGAGTTCTAACAAAGACCAAAAAATGTGAGCACATTACACCAATTCTTAAATCCTTACATTGGCTCCCAGTATGTCAGAGAATTAATTTCAAAATCCTACTGCTCACATATAAATCACTACATGGTTTAGGGCCAAAGTATATCACTGATATGCTTCCACTACATAAGCCTTCAAGATCACTAAGATCTTCTGACACCAATCTGTTAGTGATTCCCAGAGTAAATACAAATCATGGGAAAGCATCATTTAGTTACTACGCAACAAACAGCTGGAATAAACTTCCTGAAGATTTAAGACTTGCCCCAACTCTGACCACGTTTAAAACAAGACTGAAAACTTTTATGTTCAGCTTCGCCTTCTGCTAAATTTGACCTACATTGCACTTTTAACCTCTGCTTTTAATTAAACAATTTAAATAAGATTTTAATTTATAATTTTATTTGCTGTTTTTAATTGTCTTTTAATTCCTGCATTTTATTTCACTTTATTGTATGAAATGTTATAATGTGAAGCACTTTGAGTCTGCCTTGTGTATGAAAAGTGCTATACAAATAAAATTGCCTTGCCTTGCCTTGCCAATATTCCACCAGAAACCACCAGTGGTACAGCAAAAATGTCTTGTTAATGTGAGACCAATAAGGAGCATTGTTCTTCTCTTTCATGCATGACCTTTGCCCTTCTCCTCCAGGAGCCTGATGGACGTCTGTCCAGCTGATGAAACTCTGTCATCAACACAAGTGGAACCGGCATCAGAGAGGAGAGACCTGGACAGTCCAGACCACCAGACCATCACCCAGCAACCCGAGCCACAAGCGCCGGTAACCTCCCCCACAGATCAGGTGATGGAGTCCTAGCTCTGTTATGTTCTCCAGCTTTGTCACTTTTCCAGCTTCTTCACTTCACTTCTTCAGCTGTCAGCTTTATCAGGTTCATCAGGTTCATGTTGTTCTAGACTCTACTGTTAAGTTAACTGCTAGCGTGCCCTCCTAACTTTGCTAGGTTTGACATGATCTAAAGCCTAGTTTATGCTTCTGCATTTTCAGAGCGACGCAGACGCAAGACCCCCTTGTGTGTCCATTGCGTGCCTTTTCACACCTCCTTGCGTCCTTGCGTGTGTCGAGCCATTTTCCTGCAGCGCACCAGGCTGCGATTGGTCCGCTAACTACATCCTTTACGGAGTCTCACATTTCCGCTTTCATAGCACGATACCGCCATTATTAAAATGAAGAATGTTTACAAGAGAACGGATCAGATTGAAGAACTTTTGTCGGAAGAAATGCGTAAATATGAGCACTTCTACAAGCCGTCATTGGCGGGTTTAGAAGCGGTTTGGATTCACAGAGGGAGATCGCAGCAAACGCTGCTTTGCCGGTCGAGAGGAACAAAGTTGTGGAGGAAAATACGGGACAAATGTGTCCGCGATGAAAAGCAGCAGTGTCGATGCACGGGGCAATAAAGTCTATGATAAATAAATAAACAATAAATAAATAGACGTGACTCTCTGGGTCGTCTTCAACAAAAACACGTTAGCTTCAGCGTTTGCATAACCTTGCACGAAGACGAGCAGAACCAAGACAAAGGAGTCTTTCGTGGGAGTCAAGACGAGCAGAACCAAGACAAATGAGTCTTTCGTGGGAGTCAAGACTAGCAGAACCAAGACAAATGAGTCTTTCGTGGGAGTCAAGACGAGCAGAACCAAGACAAAGGAGTCTTTCGTGGGAGTCAAGACGAGCAGAACAAAGACAAAGGAGTCTTTCGTGGGGTCTTCGGGGCGGCTGAATGCGTCGCCTTCTTCTAGTTTTAATTATGTGTTTGACCCCTTTACGCGTACCTGTTCGAATCTCTTTTATCTCCCGCAGATACTACACGCCTCGGGCTATATCTGCTCTCTATGGTTATTTCTCTCTCATCTATGCCACCCGCTCCACACATGTCCCACACCTTGTCACTTGAGGCCTCTAGAACTGCCAGTCAGCTACTCGCAAGGCAGACTTCATCTCCGGCTTTGCTATCCAGCAGTCGCTTGACTTCCTCGCTCTCATAGAGACCTGGATCACACCTGAGAACACATCCACCTCAGCCGCTCTCTCCTCGGCCTTCTCCTTAGGCCAAGCACCCAAACCACTGGTAGAGGGTGGTGGCAAAGGTCTACTCATTCACCCAAATTGGAACTTTTCTCTCTACCCTCTTCCACCATCCACCCCACTGTCTTTCCAATTCCATGCTGTAACAGTTAATCACCCGGTACAATTAAATATCATTGTCCTTTACCGTCCGCCAGGCTCCTTGGGTCATTTCTTGGAAGAACTGGACATTCTCCTGTCCAACTTCCCTGTCCATGGCCCTCCGCTCATCCTCCTGGGTGACTTCAACATGCAGACAGAGAAGTCATCACACCTTTTACACCTGCTTTCTTCTTTCGCTCACTCAGTCCCTCTCCTCCTACTCACAAAGCCGGAAATCACCTTGACTACATCTTCACTAGAAACTGCTCTACCACTAACATCTCTGTAACTACACTTCATGTGTCTGACCACTTCTTCATTTCTTACTCTCTCCCACTCTCTATAACAGGGGTGCTCAATATGTCAATCGCGATCGACCAGTCAATCTCCAAGGCAGTACCAGTCGATTGTGTGCCATCGATAAAAAAATTACGTCACGTCCCACATGCACGGTCTACCGCGGGAGATGACCGAACCTAATGGTAATGGGGTTTAGCAATTCTTCCTTACTAACAGACGGATTTTATTTCCTTCCAAAGCAACCCAGGCTGACTCCCGTAAGCTAATGACCAAGAATGTGCGCTCGTTGTTTTCTTCACGTGGCCAGAGGGAGCAGACTCTGCACTACAGCTTTGGTTCGAACACACGGACTGGAATGTGTTTGCCACTCAGTCCACACTGGACTCCCACACGGACATTGATTCCTATGCCTCTTCCGTTCTGGACTTCATCAACACCAACATCGACAGTGTCACCACACTTAAACGAATCACCACCTTCCCCAACCAGAAGCCATGGATGAACAAAGAGGTCCGCCTACTGCTGAAGGCACGAGACACCGCTTTTAGGTCAGGTGATGTTCATCCAGGGCTGACCTGAAGAGGGGCATTAAGCAGGCCAAGCACAGCCACAAGCTAAGGATTGAGGAACACTTCAAGAACAACTCCGACCCCCGTCGCATGTGGCAAGGGATCCAGGCCATAACAGACTACAAACCCACCAACACCACCCCCCAAAACAATGATGCCTCCTTCCCTGGCCAGCTTAACAGCTTTTATGCACGCTTCGACAGGGACAACCAGGAGGCCGCCATCATCGAGGCTGTGCTCACTTCAGACCACCAGCCCCTCACACTCTCCTCCACCGACGTGTGTGCTGCACTGAGCAGGATTAATGCACGTAAGGCTGCTGGCCCTGATGGCGTCCCCGGACGCGTCCTCAGGGCCTGTGCTGGGCAGCTAGCTGAGGTCCTGACTGACATATTCAACCTGTCACTAGCCCAAGCTACTGTCCCCACGTGCTTTAAAACCACCTCTATCGTGCCAGTGCCAAGTGTCATTTAGGCTCACTCCACCGCAGTGAGCCTAAATGACTTCCGTCCCAGTTGCACTCACTCCAACCATCATGAAGTGCTTCGAGAGGCTGGTCCTGGCTCACCTCAAAACCTGCTTACCACCCACACTGGACCCCTTCCAATTTGCCTACCGCAAGAACAGGAGTACGGAGGATGCCATCTCCACGGCATTACACTCCGCCCTTTCTCACCTGGACAATAACAACAGCTATGTGAGGATGCTGTTCATAGACTTCAGTTCAGCATTTCACCACTGTCATCCCCTCCAAACTAATCACGAAACTCACATGGGTATCAACACTTCCCTCTGTAACTGGTAACTGGATACTGGACTTCCTATCCAACAGACCCCAGTCTGTTAGGGTAGAGAACCACACCTCCTCAACCCTCATCCTGAACACCGGCATGCCACAGGGCTGTGTGCTAAGTCCTCTCCTCTACTCCCTCTTCACCTATGACTGCACACCTGTACACGGTTCTAATACCATTGTCAAGTTTGCAGACGACGAAGGTTCGCTCCTGACCTTCTTCCTTTCCTCGCCTGTCTCATCAATAATGCTCTGTTATCTGGCTGTTTTCCCAATTCTCTGAAGGAGAAGAGTTAACCCCCTCCTGAAGAAACCCACCCTCAACTCTTCTGAAGAAAACAACTACAGACCGGTCTCTCTTCTTCCCTTTCTGTCCAAAACTCTTGAACGTGTGATCTTTAACCAACTCTCCTCCTATCTCCAAACCTAACAACCTCCTTGACCTCCACCAGTCAGGCTTCAAGGCCGTTCCACAGAGACTGCTCTCCTTGCTGTCTCAGAGCAACTCCACACTGCTAGAGCTCCTCTCTCTCCTCTGTCCTCGTCCTTCTGGACCTCTCTGCTGCATTTGACACAGTCAACCACCAGATCCTTATTTCCTCCCTTCAGTAACTTGGTGTCTCAGACTCTGCTCTCTCGTCCTACCTCGACGGACGCACCTACCGGGTAACCTGGATAGGATCTGTGTCGGAACCTTGTCCTCTTACTACTGGAGTTCCTCAGGGTTCCGTCCTGGGTCCCCTCCTCTTTTGTTGAGAAGGTAATTCGCTCGCATGGCTTCTCCTACCACAGCTATGCCGATGACACCCAACTAATTCTCTCCTTCCCTCACTTGGACGCCCAAGTGGTGGCACCGATCTCTGCCTGTGTGACTGATATCTCTCAGTGGATGTCCGCTCATCATCTGAAAATCAACCCCGACAAGACTGAACTACTTCTCTTTCTGGGAAATGGGACTTGGCGGTCAACTTTGGCAACTCCGTGTTAACGCCCACTTTGACTGCTAGGAACCTCGGCGTGACACTCGACAGCCGACATCACTGACAACACGATTCTGTAGATACACGCTCTACAACATCAGGAGAATACGTCCTCTTCTCACTCAGAAGGCGGCGCAGGTACTGATTCATTACATTACATGTCATTTAGCTGATGCTTTCATCAAAAGCGACTTACAATAAGTTAATTTCAACCGTAAGGATACAGACTCAGATGAACAAGAAACAAGAAAGTGCAATGCCCTCAAATGAGCCAATTTACAACTTGCTGTAGATAAGAACCATTATAAGTCCAATGTCAGTGCTACAGTTAGTTAGTGTGTTAGTGGAGGTAGAGTCTGAAGAGGTGTGTCTTTAGTCTGAAGATGTGAAGGCTCTCTGTGGTCCTGATGTCTTCAGAGAGCTCCTTCCACCATTTAGGAGCAGGAAGCAAAGAGTGGTGATTTAGTCGAGTGTTTTGCTCTCAGTGAGGAGGAACAAGCAGTTTATCACATGCAGAGCGGAGAGTGCGGGTCGGGATGTCGGGTTAGACCAGGTCCTGGATGTAAGCTGGACCCCATCCATTCACAGCATGGTACGTGAGCACCAGTGTTTAGAACTGGATGCGGGCAGCCATCGGTTCAATCAATGCTCTCAATGTTTTTAAAGGTTTCTTTCTTTTGCCTTTTAATGGTTTTATGTGAAGACTTGAACGTTTGGTGTGAATGATGTTTTATTCACTACGATCAAAAGGTTAGATGAGATTTTTAATGTGTTTGGTTTCTGCTCTTCTCTCAGGATGATGCAGCAGAAGGAGGTTGTGGAGGTAAGAGAACAACACAACAGCAATATTAATATAATTATCGCTAAAGTGACAACATAGCGAGCTTCCAGTTTCCATTCTTACTTTCACAAATCAGCCTCTCAACGTCTCTTACTAACTTCAAATATTATATTTAACAACAGCGCTCACTGGTGTCAAGGGTCAACTAGGGCAAACAGGTCAAATGTCAACTCCTAGAATGTGAACAGTCATAAGTAAAGTCATTTAATAAACGGTGTATAATAATAATGAGATGCTCAGATGCTCCTTGTATTACTGTAATAATGCTATCAGTGGCTGTTGATTTGTTGATCGACAGCTGATAGGTTACTAGGAGCAGGACAGATTTGGTTAAATTATGAAATGAATCAGTATGTTAGTTTAATGATGATGATTTTCTTGTGTGTTATGGAAGGACTTCATATTTTAGATCTTCCTGGTCTCCTCCCATTAACTAATTTCCCCTCCTGGAACTCACAGTTCTTTGACTTTGACTCTTTGACTGTTTCTCTGTCCAGTTCCCGACATGTTTTTTCCGATAAAGAGCTTTGTGCTTCGATTCCCGCACGCCGCTGAGTGTCTGGAGAGCTGCAGGAAGCTGATGCATGACCACAACCTCGCTGCTCCTAAGCTGAGCCTGCCACCGGAGCTGCTGCAGCTGACCCAGGAGCTATCGCAGTGCTGCATTAGCATCGCCAGGCGCTTCACATGCACCGACTCCAACTCCCATGATCCTCAGCAGCCTTAACCCCGCCCTCCTCTAGCAAACCCTCAGAGAAAGTTAGACACCCGTAGATACAAACTTCTAAAGTGCCAAACCAATCACCTTAATCCTCTTCCTGATCACTCCCACCATGCACTGCTCCGAGCCGCCTGCTGACCTCACCTCAGGCCTCAATCACCGTAGGTGGGGTCAACAGGCCGGCATTGAGATTTGATGAAAATCAATTCCTGCAAGCTTTTAATCAGCTCACCATTTTATATTTAGATACTTAATAGGGCTATTATTTTCCCAGCCTTTGTGTATCATTAACGTTGTTTTTGCTTTGTGATGTTCTGATGTCAGTTATTTTGAGACTCTGCTGTGCCTGCTGCTCCGTCCCTCAGGCCGCTGTGGTGGAAGTGTGGGTGAAGCTCCGGAGCTGAAGATGGAGGATGTGGATCGGGAGGAGAGGAAGGAAAAAGGCCTGAAGATCCCTAAAATGATCACAACCCACGAGCCAGAGTGCAGTGCACCGCTGTCCAAGCTGAGGTAACAAACAATTCTTCAGTTATAGCTGATTGCCCTGAAGGGGGCGCTAGAGAAACCAGGCTAGAAACACAAGGCTAAAGAACTTGGGCTAGAGACACAGGGCTAGAGACACAAGGCTAAAGACACAAGGCAAAATAACCTAGGCTAGAGACAGATGGCTAGAGACAGATGGCAAAATAACCTAGGCTAGAGACACATGGCTAGAGACACAAGGCAAAATAACCTAGGCTAGAGACACATGGCTAGAGACACAAGGCAAAATAACCTAGGCTAGAGACAGATGGCTAGAGACACATAGCTAGAGACACAAGGCTAGAGACACAAGGCAAAATAACCCAGGTTAGAGACTCTTAGGGGACATCCTTGAGTCGTGATGGTTGTGAGCATACTCTGCTTTATGGTATGTTGTCCATGTTGTTGTCTTCATGTCCTCTTGTGGTTTCTTGTTTCATTACCTTTGTCCCTGTTGTTGTCTTTATGTCCTCTCAGTGCTGCCGATGAGAACGGTGATGAACTGAAGACCTGGTTCAGGGATGGAGACCTGCTTACTGCAGACGATGAGTGAGAGAAACCACACACACTTTTTCCTCCACATCCGTCCTCTGTCCTCCATGTTTACTGTCCTGCTATTGTCCCATAGAAAGAGTCTTCTGTCAGCAGGCGGCCTGGTAGTCCAGGAACGTCTCAGCAACCTCGTTGAGCTGTTTAAAGGTCGGACGCAGCGGCAGAAAGAGCGTTTGGTGGACCAGGACGAGTCTGAGGAAGAAAGTCCAGCCTGTAGGTGTATGTTGTCTCGTCTTTGTCTTTATGTTGCTGTGTCTTTGACTTCATGTTGTCTTCATCTTCATTGTGTTGTGTCTTTGTCTTGTTTTCACGCAAACATTATGCTATTGATTCTTACTGTAGCCCAGAGCAAAGCTCCTCCTCCTCCTCCTCCACCTCCTCCTCCAGAAGAGAAAAAAGATGACCCCCCGCCAGCAGTACGAGAGGAAGAAGAGGATTTTATTCTCCCCTTTCAACTTCTGGGACGCCCAGTGAAGATTCCTAGACTTACCGGTCTCCCCCGGATGCTGGACTGGGCCAGAGTCCTGATGAAGTTCCACTTCCCTTCCAGCATTGACCCGTTCACTGGTGAGCGCACAGAAGAAATTTATTTACATTTGAATCATATTCATGTGTTTGTTCTGTTCTGGTGTAAATACAAGTCTATTCTATCCTTTGTCTGTCCAACTGTCCTCTTAAAAGATAGTCCTATATTTGATGTATTAACCGACTGATAACAAACAAATATTGTCATATGAAATAGGAAGATTTTTACTGCAGTAAATGAAGTAAATGTCATGCTTTCAAAACAAAAATAACAAGACCATCAAAATATACTTAAAGTACGAAAAAAAAAAGTACTCATGATGCATAATAACATACATTGTCATTACTTTTTCATTCATGTTCATCAGAGGAGGAACTGATTTTAATGACTTTATATTCTTCTGGTAATAATCATTATTATGAGCAATAATAATAATAGTAATTTATGATCAGAATATGTCAGATTAATTTAGTATAAACTATATGTTCTCTGAGTAGTAATACCTCACGAACCCAGTAGAAGTATAAAGTGGAGTATAAATCCCATTCCACCATGAGGCTTTTTTTTGGCCCCATGCAGCATGTTTGATGACTACTTTTGTTGTGGTTTGGCAAGAGTAGTGATAAAGGCACCACTGTGTATGGTGGCTCGTGTCATCAGGTTATGAATGGTGTGAATGGGTGAACGATGACATGAAGTGCTTTGAGTGGTTGGGAGACTAGAAAAGCGCTACACAAGTATAGTCCATTTACCCACATCAGCGTCTTCAGCGTTGACGTGAGTAACTCTTCAGTGTGCCGTTTTCAAACGGATCGGTGCAATTTGTAGACAAGACTCTAATGTTTCCAACAATGTGAAGCTTTCATGTCTTTGCTTTTGATAAGTACTCAATATCCCTGTTAGAAGTTGGTTCTGGCTCGGTTCTCTACCGGTTTTGTTAGGGTGCTGAGTGCTAGTCAAAGTGAACTACTAATACTTCACAGGTACATAGAATATGAGTCAAAGTATAAAGTGAACTACAAATACCTAAAAACAGTGTTTGAATACAAGTAGCTCACACCTACATTACTAGTAAAAGTACTTCTTGTAGATCTGATCTACGTGGTCTGGCTCTTCTGTGTGGTGGCGGCCTGGAACTGGAACGTGTGGTTGATTCCCGTCCGCTGGGCCTTTCCATACCAGACCCCCGAGAACCTTCACCTGTGGCTCCTGGTGGACTACACCTGTGACCTGATCTACATCACTGACATCCTGCTGATGCAGCCCCGCCTTCAGTTTGTTCGAGGAGGAGACATTGTGGTGAGCATGATATTAAAATAATATACAAATGTAATTTAGTAACATCTGTCTGTTGTAAAAACATCTGTTTTTTATAACATCATCAGACTGTTTTTATCATTATAACTGTCTGTTTATCATAACAACATGTTTGTTTATAACAACATGTTTGGATTATTAAAACATCCATATAATGTATCTATATTAAAAACATGTGTTTGTGTCGTATTTCCGGCCCTTTCAGAGCGATAAGAAGGACATGAGGGAGAACTACATGACCACTGAGAGATTTAAGGTGAGGCCAGAAAATGATGACGCTGAGGGCGAAGAGGGGTCAGTGGAAGGTTCCCCTTTCAGAACGGCGGGTTCTAGTGGTCGGGGCCGGTTCCTTTGTCAGAAGGTGGGAAGGTGCCTACAGATCATGTGACCCGCCGTTCGGATGATGGGAACATGCCGATATTCAGAGAGGCATGGCAACGCTAAAACAATAGAGGGACATATGTATCGACCGTGCATGCTTTGTAACGTCAACAAATAAAACGAGAACCCATTTTCCAGTGACGGGCGGACGGCCGTTTACATTTACGGCAAACCCACGGTCATGAAAAAAACCCTCACAACATTTATTAACTTTTTATTTTTCAAGCATTTAAGAGCTAATTCCTCTTTGATATATGACACCGATAGGCATGGTCCTTAATTTGGTGCAGCGTTGCAAACATTAGTGTCATGCTGCAAAGCACTAGTGCACATCGGCACATCACCAAACAGAATAGGAAAGGAGCGGAAAAGGTTCTGCACATCAGTTCGCTGACCTTTCAGGCAGGTACAACAAGTAGAAATTCACACCAGGCAGCACTTAGAATTAGAACCCCCACCAGACTGCTGACCATCAGGAGGCACTGCCAGACCATCGTCAGACATGGTCTTCACACAAATACAAGAAGCAGATACAGCGTTACCTTCTGCACCCCCTGGGCAACCTCCCTGCCAGGATATGGACTAAGCATGTTAATGTGGCACATCCTTTCTGCGCTCAGAGGTACGAATCCCGCGCAGAACCAGGCCCAGGCAGCAGAACAAGCACTCGATCACAAGGCTTTAACTGTCGCAAAACAGAAGCTTTATCAAGCCTTCTTTTCATGCGGTGCTGGGACTAGAAAGGGCTTTTCATGCCAACATGGCCGCATGGTGCAAACGTTCTCAACATAGCGAAAAACTTTTCCACGTCAGTCTTTGCTGATACTCCAGCAACAACTTCGGCGCCACGCACCTTGTGACTGACTGACTGACTGAATCTGGTGCCACTGCTCAAGCGCACCTTGTGACTCAGGATGGTAAGCGTTAGCCAGTGGGAATGTCTGCTTAAGCCTTTGACAGAAAATGAGTCCCCCTAACCATCTTTGGCAGTCCAAAGGTGGTAAAGTACTTAATCTTTAGTGATGGCCGGCGTAGTGATTTTCCACAGGGGCCTTGGAAAACAAGTGGAAACACATCATGAGTGGAAACACATCACTGTAACTAATATTGGTTCCCAATCCTGGTCCTAGGCAACGAACCAACACAGTCAACAATTACAAGCTCAAATGGTTCACCAACAGCAGGGTGCAGGAAGCCAAGTTTTACAGAAACTACTCACATCAGCTCTCATTCCTGGCCAGAAGAAATGCTTCAGTATGCGACTTTAAATGACACCTAAATAACCAGACCAGTGATGCTCATGTGCTAATGCTAGCCCCCGCCGCCGATAACCAACAGAAATAACTACGGTAAAAAGTGTCCCATTCCTGACCTCCTGCCCTATCAACACCCTTCAGGGGCTGTATTCGGAGAGGGGGGGCAGCATGACAGAGTTCTAACTAAAAGCAGTTTGTTCTCACGTCGTATGTGTATTTAAAAACACAACATTGATTACCAACGTCATGTGACTTCAGTGATTTTATAAACTAAGTGAATTCTAATTATCCCGAGAAGTCACCACAGTTATGTCTTTATATTTATTAGAGCTGTAGTTTCATTAATATATAATTATCAAAATTATCAATTTGAATTTTTTATTTGAGGTATTATTATTATTCTTACTATTAAATGTTATATTTTCTACTTTATTTCTTGTTATTGACAAAACACAATCACTTGTTATTGATCTCAGATGGACGTCATCAGCTTGTTCCCCATGGAGATACTTTATGTTTTCACTGGAGTCAACTCTCTGTTGAGGTTCCCTCGGCTGCTGAAGGTTAGCAGGTTCTCTCTCGTCATGCAGATGTTCATTCAGATGTTTATTAAGATGTTCATGCTATATTCATGCAGATGTTCATATACATTTTCGTAAAGACATTCATGCAGGCGTTAATGCAGATGTTTATATAGATTTTCTTTTAGACGTTAATGCAGCTGTTTATTCAGATGTCCATACATATGTTCATGTAGATAATTATATAGATATTCATGGCTATTTTCATGCAGATGTTGATTCCTATGTTAATTAAGATGTTCATGCATATATTCATACAGATTTTCTTTTAGAGGTTCATCCAGATGTTCATGCAAATCTTCTCGTCTCTCCTCTCTCAGTACATGGCGTTCTTTGAGTTCAATGACCGGATGGAGGCTGTGATGAAGAAAGCATACATCTACAGGTGAGTCATGTTAACCTGCAGAGGCCAGCGGGCTGAGCTGTTACGATTACTGATGTTTTTGACCTTTATTGCTGATATTTATTTGCATTTGAATTGCAGATGTTTTCATCCTCTATCTGTATATACTCTTTAGGGTGATCCGGACGTCCACGTACCTGCTCTACTCTCTGCACATCAACGCTTGTCTCTTTTATTGGGGATCAGACTACGAAGGACTCGGATCCACCAAGTGGGTCTACGACGGGAAAGGAAACGCGTAAGAACCAGTTTGTTATTACTATTAGGATTATAGGGATTCATGCTTCCTACCAGCAGGAAGACACACAGCTGGAGGTCTGAGGGTGTCGTGTCACTCTGAGGGGTTGTGGCAGCCTCCAGATGGCAGCAGTGAGCCGATGGGAAATTAGATTAGACAATTGAATTAATCCCTAGTGGGGAAACTCATTTGCCACCATAAAATTCTGCAAACAACAACAGACTCATACAGACAATAGACACAGTCCAGAGAGCACAACAGACCGGAAACACATTTCAGAGAACAAACAAAAAGCATGACATCAGAAAGAAGTGTTCACTTACAAATGGAACCGCTGCTGGAATGGAAGATCTTGTGAGTGGTTCAGTAGACCACGAGGGCATCCTGAGTCTCTCACTGAATGAGCTCCATTAAACAGTATGACCTCTATGAGTCCGGGGAAGGACAATCCCTTAACCAGCCTTTCTGATCAGCCTATTGATCCTGTTTTTGCCATCTGTATTAGTGCCGCACGCCCAGCAGAGCACATCTTAGAAGAGGACACCTGATAAAAAACAGGAAGATGCTTTCTGGTGATTTAAAAAGATCCAAGCTTCCTCAAGAAGAAAAGTCTTGACTGAGCCTCTTTAAAAACGGCGTTAGCATGTTATTTTACAGTCAAACTTCCAGATGGATTTGGGGGACATCCGCCTTCTTCCTTCTTAAATCAATAACCAACTCTGGTTTTTCCAACGTTTAGTTTTAAGAAGCTTTCGTTACACCAGCTGACAAAGGATTCATCCTCCTGTTTAGAGGTCAGCACAGACCTTCAGGGTGCGTGGATGGACACCATCAGGGCCTGCTGCCTTGTTAACTGCTGTCGACCCCCCTCAACATTTATTTGAATGGCTGGACTACAGTCCTGCAGAACTACTCAGTGCAAGCAAAGCGAGGATGCTCTAGTGCAGTGGTCCCCAACCTGTTTTACCTCATGGACCGTTTTCACGTCAGACAATATTCTGCGGACCGATCGAGAAGGTCCGGCGGAATAACGGGGGGGTAGTCGTCGTTGTGGGCGGAACGACCGACGGGCAATTCATCAAACCTTGCAAAAAACTGATTTGCTTCATTTACATTGATCCCATCACCAGGCAAGCTGGGATTACTGATCCCATAACCAGGAATGGATTTCATTTTGTTCCAAAACAAGTGTTACTATTGGACATATGTCCTTCAACACAGTCTTATATAAACGCTAACCTTTGATTCTATTCTATCTAATCTTTATCGCCGCTGAAAAAGCAGTTTTTTCTTTAATAGTCGCTTTAACCTCCCTTGTCACTCCAGGTTTATTATTAAGGATTTATTTATTTGTTTACAAGGAATAATAGTCTCAACACAGTAATATAACTGACTTTGTCAGAGATGCTGTCAATATCGTTGTGGTCATCGAGAAACACATTCCAGTCAGTGCAATCAACACCGATTGAAGGACAATAGCTGGGTGTCAATAAAATCAAATTATGGTTCAATTGTCAGCAGAGAAGAAGAAGTCTGCAAACTGCTTAACTCATTTATTTATTATGAATGTTTGAGAAAGGATGTTGGTTGAGATCAAAGATGAACACAATCGGTTTTGATTTACTTGGATGAGTTAAACTATGAGGAAAACAATTTTAATGGAACGCTTTCTTGAGAGGTCGGATTCTCTCAACGTGACACCAATGATCATTTATGCCCTGAGGACTTGTCCTCAGGATGAAGCTTCAAACGACTCTACTGAGACAATGACATGTTGAGAAGATCTAATCTGAATTAGTATTAGTGTATATCGTTATACCTTTGTTCTCCCCACAGTTATATCCGCTGTTACTACTTTGCGGTGAAGACATTGATCACCATCGGAGGACTTCCTGACCCCACCACCGTCTTTGAGATCTGCTTCCAGCTCATCAACTACTTCGTTGGGGTCTTTGCCTTTTCGATCATGATCGGGCAGGTCTGTCATTTATATTGATTATGATATCAATAAGGTGAAAAGGCGGGGAAAGTATGATTATATTATGATTACAGCGTCATTATGATATGAAAACAGAATGATTACAGCATGATAACGCTGTGATTGTTACATGAGAACAGTATCATTGCAGGATATGAGATTCATGAAGGCACATTCAGAAGTTAGTACAAAATGTTAACCATACTTTGGTATTTCATTTTACCTCTTGTCATTAAACTTGTTTTGTAGCAAAACTTTGGTAGATAACATAATAATAAAACTAAAAATGGCACTCTTTGATCTTAAAAGGCAATGTGGTTTGAATTTACATGAAAAACTATTTCTTAACATGCACAAGCTATTTAGCTGCAGCTGATCAATAGAGAAAGAGTCTATTCTCCCTAATTGCCCTCATTGATTTATCTCAGATGAGAGATGTGGTCGGAGCTGCGACCGCCGGAGAGAACTACTACCGAGCCTGCATGGACAGCACCATCCAGTACATGAACTCTTACCACATCCCCGGACAGGTCCAGAACCGCATCAAGACCTGGTACGACTACACCTGGAAGATCCAGGGCATGCTGGGTAAGAGGGCTTCTCTTGTGTACATGTGTAACCATACAGACAGCGGGGGAGAAGGTGTATAAGCACAATAGAAATGGAGCAAAAATGATGGCAGCTGTTTTTGGACTTAACAGAAAATCTTTAGTTATCGTGTGCGAGTAATGTTGGATTATGATGACAGTAATGTGACTAATATTTATAATAATAATAATTATGATAATAGCAGCAGCAGGTGTCAGCAGGGCCACGGCAGGGAACAGATCCAGATAGAACCAAGATCCATGGAAACCTGTGTGGCGTGAAAGCACAACAACTTTGTTGAAGAAACTGGATTAGTGATGTGAATTAATGAGATGTGTAAATATATATATATATATATATATATATATTGTGATGTCATGAGAGGCGCCGCCGCTCTCACCGGGGTAGTTCAAGTAGTGCGAGGACACCAGGTTCAAAATGTACAAAGGTTTAATTTGCATCCTTCGCATTAAACAGAAACAGTAGTCAAAAACGGGTGACTCAGGCTTCGGTCGATCTTCGCCGGTAAAACTTAAATAATGCCTCGTCTTCGGAGGGGAATCGGAAATCTACCTCCCTCAAGAGAACACTCCATCTTCTCAGTCTCTCCTGCATTGGTCTGGTCTTCTGCAGCGGGCCCAACCTGCAGCTCGTCTCTCTCGCCCCCTCAGTGGTGTGTCTCCCGCCCTTATGAAGGGTTTCAGGTGTGAGGGGGGATGCTCGGAGTTTCGGGGTGGGGTTCCTAACTCCACCGGCAGATGGAGCCATAGCAGTTACAGCCATCTCCGGTGCACAAAATATATATATACTGTATAGAATTATTAAATAATGTATGGGAGAGACAGACAGAGACAGACACTGTGTCCTAAGTATCCTAAGTGGTCCAAGAAGATGTAACCAGCATCTCCTTGTAGGGCAACAAGCTCTTTAAGATACGACGGTGCCTCACCAGCAAGTGCCTTGTAGGTGAGGAGAAGTACCTTAAATTATATTGTTTAACAGGGAGATCTGCAGCTACTCAGAGAGGTCCCTGAATGTCTCGCGGTGAGTTCAGGTGCACTCAGAGCTTTGTGATGTCTCCTCTGCAGATGAACAGGAGCTTCTAGTGCAGCTTCCCGCTAAGATGAGGCTGGACATGGCTGTAGACGTCAACTACTCCATCGTCAGCAAAGTGGCCTTGTTCCAGGTACCAAACAACTATATATTGTATACAGGTAAACATCTTCATATGAAACAAACATGAACTGTCTGTGAACAGGGCCACGTTACTCCTACGTGGTTCATGATGAAATGTCCCATTAGCAGCACAAATTAATGCGATTTTTGTCATTTTTGTTTTTTTTTCCTGTGCCTGTTTGAGGGTTTCGGGACAGAGGATGTCGCATGTTACAGATTTTAAATCCCTCTGGGTAGAGTTGCAATTTTGGGTTAAAGAAAATGAAATTAATTCAAATTAAATCGCAAAATCTCACAGCGCCACCGCTGCGAGGGCTGGACAAGAAGCACGGCGAAATATTCCAGAAAAGCTAAGTGGTTAAGTTAAAAATGAAGTGTTGGTCAAATGTATAGGCTCATTTTAAGTGCCTCACTCTGTGGGAGAGCCGACGCTCAGCGTGTTGTGTTCTATGAATAAACGGAGAATCCATCAACTTAAACAGCGTCTTTGTGTCTCTCAGGGCTGTGACAGACAGATGGTGTTCGACCTGCTGACGAGGCTCAAGTCAGTCGTCTACCTGCCCGGAGACTTTGTCTGTAAGAAGGTGAGCAACACACCTGTGTACCTGCGTGTGTGTGTGTACACTGTATTTTATTGGGTTTTGATAGTGAGTGTATTCTTGTGGTTACTTTAACCTGGTGCTGTTCTCATGTTAATTGTTCCAATGTGTGTGTGTGTGTGTGTGTGTGTGTGTGTGTTGCAGGGCGAGATCGGCAGGGAGATGTACATCATTAAACAAGGGGAGGTTCAGGTGGTCGGAGGTCCAGACCTGCAGACGGTGTTTGTTACCATCAGATCTGGTTCTGTGTTTGGAGAGATCAGGTCAGAGCGGTTTACCGTTTGTTCTCCTTTCACGGACCACCATATGATCCAACGGTGTTTGGATCATATGGTGGTTTAAACCAATCAGAGACAGAGATGCAGCGGGTCTTTGCCTCTGATTGGCTGTGGTCCTACACTGCTCCGTGCTCTGTCATTTGAAATTGCAACACCAGCGAACCCTTTACGTCAGAACTGAGATGAGGAACAATGAAAAGAAATCGACCCACAAAGTCTTTTCCCCATTTACCTACACCTTATTTTTGTTTTAAATCATTTACATAATGTATATAAATGTATCTGGAGCGTGATAAAAAATGAACTTGAATCAGGAATCAGGAATCAGGAAACATTTATTGGCCAAAATATGTCAAACATACAAGGAATTTGTCTTGGCGGTTAGTGCGCGACAGTAGACAGACAAGACAACAGTGCACAGGTAATAAGTGGCGTCGCAAGGCAGCGCAAGGAAAAATTTGGGTGCACCTAAATAAAAAAGTAAGGCGCACCAGTGCAACCTGGCAAAAAGTTAGTTTGGAGCAATTCAATTCATTTTATTTTGTATACCCCAAAATTTCAAATTACAAATTAGCCTCAGAGGGCTTTACAGTCTGTACACATACGACATCCTCTGTCCCGAAACATTACATCACATGTCATTTATCTGACGCTTTTATCCAAAGCGACTTACAATAAGAACATTTCAACCATAAGGACACAAACTCAGAAGAACAAGAAACAAAAAAGTGAGATTTCATCAAATAAGCCGATGTACAACTTGCTGTAGATAAGAACCATTATAAGTCCAATGTAAGTGCTACAGGTAGTTAGTGTGTTAGTGGAGGTAGAGTCTGAAGAGGTGTGTCTTTAGTCTGAAGATGTGAAGGCTCTATGTGGTCCTGGTGTCTTCAGAGACCTCCTTCCACCATTTAGGAGCAGGACAGCAAAGAGTGGAGATCTAGTGGAGTGTTTTGCTCTCAGTGAGGAGGAACAAGCAGTTTATCACATGCAGAGCGGAGAGTGCGGGTCGGGATGTCGGGTTGGACCAGGTCCTGGATGTAAGCTGGACCCCATCCATTCAAATCAATTCAATTCATATTATTTTGTATAGCCCGAAATTGCAAAGTACACATTTGGCTGTACAGTCTGTACACATACGACATCCTCTGTCCCGAAACCCACCATCGGCACAGGAAAACTCCCCAGAAAATGAAAAAACTCTTCCAAGAGGGAAAAAAGGGAAGAAACCTTAGCGAGAACGTCAGAGGAGGATCCGTCTCCTGATGGACAGACTACAATGATGTCATGAGGACAGAATGAACAATGTATAATACATGAGACTATATGACAGAAATGATTCAAGTAACTGTGAGTAGTAAACCAGGCGCACAGCAGGACCACTGCAGGGGCAACCACCACCAGATAGAACCACCATCACATAGAACCACCATCAGGTAGAACCTCCATCAGGTAGAACCACCATCACATAGAACCACCATCAGATGGAACCTCTATCAGGTAGAACCACCATCAGGTAGAACCTCCATCAGGTAGAACCACCATCAGGTATAACCTCCATCAGATAGAACCACCATCAGATAGAACCACCATCACATAAAACCACAATCAGATAGAACCACCATCAGATAGAACCTCCATCAGCTAAAACCTCCATCACATAGAACTGCCATCAGGTAGAACATCCATCACATAGAACCACCATCAGATAGAACCTCCATCAGGTAGAACCTCCTTCACATAGAACCACCATCACATAGAACTACCATCAGATAGAACCACCGACATGTTTGTATCTACAAAGCATGTCGTGCTGTGCGTAAAGTTCTCCTAGTTCTACATGGTCATTTTCACATACAAATATACACATAGATACAGAACATGTATCACATATCATCAACAGAAAGATTTTTTTTTTTCTGAAAAACTAAATATGCGTCCTCGTCCCTCTTGACATATTTCCCAAGCGTCACCAAGCATTTTTCTTCACGTTTACGTTTGCCCTCTTACTGTCTTACAGTTTCTCCCACCAGCGAACAGAGAGCGCTCGACTACCCCCCCCCCCCCCCTTACAGTTACAGTTACGCATTTAACTGTCTGCGATACTTTGTTTGCCATTACATTACAGGTCATTTAGCTGACGCTTTTATCCAAAGCAACTTACACTTTAAAGTAGTAAACACTTTTTTCTGAGGAGTGACGCCTCTTTCTCTTTCAGTTTGCTGGCAGGAGGAGGGGGGAACCGACGGACCGCCAACGTGAAGGTGCACGGATTTGCCAACCTGTTCATCCTGGATAAGAAAGACTTGGCAGAAATCCTAGTGAACTACCCAGAGTCCCAGAAGCTCCTCCGCAAGAAAGCCAAGTAAGACCGAGTCCTGTCCCACCGGTGCTGACTGCCTAACCTCTCATTCGACACCATGGGCCTCATGTATGTACATTTGCAAACGTAGCGTTATCAGTGGCACGGGAAACGCACAGATAGCACTCACCGTTATCCTTCAGTTTATGTTGTATTTACAAAACCAGGTAATCAGCGCCTTTCTCCGCCCAGAATACCGCACATTGCTGATCATGGATCAGCCAAAGCCAAAAGAACAACAAGAAAGTACAATTTGATCAAATAAGCCAATTTACAACTTGCTATAGATAAGAGCCATTAGAAAAACAATTAAAGTGCCACAATTAGTTTAGTGTTTTTAGTCACGAATCACAAAAAGAATTTGTCTCAGAGGGCTTTACAGTCTGTACACATACAACATCCCCTGTCCCAAAACCCTCACATCTTCAGAATGAAAAACCGTCCGATGAGGAAGAAAAAGGGGAAGAAACCTTTAAAGAGAACATTAGTGGAGGGATCCCTTTCCCGGTATGGGCAGACTGCAATGGATGTCATTTGATCAGAATGTACATCTTTATATTGTACCATATTGTATATTTTAAGATTTACATTGATCAATTCCTACGGCAGAATGCTTGAAATATTGAGAGTAGGCAGCCAGGTGAAATGACAACTGCAGGGACCACCACAATCAGATGTCACCACCATCAGATGTAACCAAAAGAACAAGTTTCACTAGGCTTTTAGATTGTAATGACCAAATTTGAAGTCTATCCAATAACCCACCTAAAATGAGCTGTTTTTTAAGCATGACAAAAAATAAAAATGGTGGTGTGGTGGTCAGCACTGTTGCCTCACAGCAAGAAGGTCCTGGGTTCGATTCCGCCCAGTGGCCTTTCTGTGTGGAGTCTGCATGTTCTCCCCGTGTCTGCGTGGGTTCTCTCCGGGTTCTCCGGGTTCCTCCCACAGTCCAGAGACCTGCTCTGGGGATCAGGTTGATTGGGGACTCTAACTTGCCTGTAGGTGTGTGAGTGTGAGTGTGAATGGTTGTTTGTCACTTTAAATGTGGGAGCCAAATTTACCTCAATACGAGCATGTTTTGTCCCTCAAAAGCACCTTTTCTGTTTACTGCGAACAATGGGTTACACGAGGCATAATATTCTCCATGGGCTGGCTTCATGAACGTCTTACGTTTGCTGATGTCAATGTGAGCTATTTTTTTCACAGTGAAGCATTATCAAGGTCTTTTCTGACTGAACTTTTGAGAGGGATCTGACTACTCTGCGAGGATAAAGATATAAAGTAAAAATCATGTAACTTCCAGTTGCAACTAAGTGGGGCTATGACTAGGATTAAAACCGTTCATGATTATATGCATGTCTACAGGGTAAGACGTGTGCTACAAATTTGGGGAATGCAATCAAATACAAGTGATTTTGAAGTTAGGTGTCGACATGTTAAGATACATCCCTTAAAAGTTCACTGATATATCCATATCTTCTAAACACAGAGATATCAACAAGCTTCATTTTCAACTTTTGATGACATTGAACCAGTGATGATTCACAGAAAATTTTGTGACAATCGGACTTGGTGTTTAGGAGAAAATTGTGTTATTTACCCATTCCAAAATGGCAGGAAATCTAATCAGGCACATTTTGCTGCCATGGTTGTTGTTTTTTGTAGAGCATGTGTGGCAATTTTGAAGTCAATCGGTCATAAGGGCCAAAAAGTGTGGTCTGGAATATTCCTAGGGGGCGCTATAGAGACATTTCTTTATACCCAAATGCAAGACCCCAAAAATATCAAATTTTTCACCTGTCTTGATATGCATGTGATATTTAACAATTTTTGCGATACAATAAAGCCCCCCAAAAGATAAAAAATACTCCAACGTTGTCGGTGGGGGGCCGTAATAATGATAATTCATAATAATGAACTGGATTAAAAAGTCTAGCTCTGAAAAGGTGAAAAGCAGTCAAATCTGAAAACAAGGCAGTGCTAACTATTCAGATAAATGCAAAGCAGCAGCGGCCATATTTCATTAATTGAGAACTTCAATGAATAGAAAGACAACAGCTCCGACCTTCTGGTCACAGAGTGATAAAAGCAGCTGGAAACATGGAGGTGAAATGTGTTGCAGACTTAACGAGGACGCTCTCTTTGAAAGAGACGCAGCAGCGGGCGAGGGAGACCCGGTTCTGAAGAGCTCATGATATCTTCTTCTTCTCCATAATCCCTGTCCTTCCCTGTCTTCTCCTCCCTCTCTTCTGTCTCCTCCTCCTCCGGTCATGTGATATCTGGTGCTTCCTGCCCTGGATTACAATGAGCTCAGTAATCGGCTGTACCTGGTGGTGCAGACAGGACGAGGAGGATCAGCAGGAGGATCACTGATCCTCCTGCTGATCCTCCTGCTAAGGGTCAGATGATGGTGCTGCAACAGACTGGATGCATGAGTTGCTGTGTGTGTTGGTACGAGTCGTGGTTTGTTATTGCGGTCAGAACCAGAACCAGCACCTCCATACTCCTGTTCAGACCCTTCTCGTTGTGTCTCTGTGTTTGTGCAGGACCATGTTGACTAAGGACCAGAAGCCAGAAGAGAAAGGTGGAGCCAAAGAGGCTGTGCAGATTATTCCACCGAGACCAGACACACCCGAGATGTTCAAGGCGGCTCTGAAGGTCTCACAACAGGCGGGACTAGAAGGAGCCTTCACCCAGCTGAGGAGGACCTACCAATCATCTGAGAGCACAGACAGACAGGTGAGAGACCTTGTGTCCATCTGTCAGATACAAGTCCTGTCTGAATTTGTCTCTGTCTTTCAGATTAACGAATAATTTACTTTTTTTAATTCATCTCACATGTAAACAAGGAGACTTATTCATTTAAATAATTCTAAAAAAACAAATAGATTCACAACATTTGATAACTATGATATATTCTTAATTAATATTTATGAAAAGGTAAATTCGGACTGGAATTCCTTTTTTTCAATTCAATTCATTTCATTTTGTAGCCCAAAATCCTCTGGGGGCTTTACAGTCTGTACACATGCGACATCCGCCCGGAACCCTCACGTCGGCAAAACTCGGGAAACACTAAAATCACTAACACTAAAAACACAAAAAATGAAAAACTCTTCTATGGAGAAAAACTGGAAGAAACCTTAGGCAGAATAATACGTTCAATTCCTATAACAGAAATGATTCAAATAATTGCGAGTAGTAAGACAGGTGTACGGCAGGACCACTGCAGGGACAACCAACATCAGACAGAACCACCGTCAGATAGAACCACCGTCAGACAGAACCACCGTTAGATAGAACCACCATCAGATAGAACCACCGTCAGATAGAACCACCATCAGATAGAACCACCATCCACAGAAACCTGTGGGGAGGGAGAGCACAAAAACTTTAGGAAATTGTGATGTTGGTTTATGATGACAGTAACAGTAATATGATTCATATTTTTTTAAATGATGATGATGATGATGATGATGGCAGCAGCAGGTGTCAGCAGGGCCACGGCAGGAGGCAGGAACAGGGTCCAGATAGAACCAATATATATGGAAACCTGTGTGGTGAGAATGCACAAATACTAGAAACAAAGTTAGTGATGTGCATCAATGTTGACAGTAATAGTAAAGGTAATAATAATGGTGTTAGAAGCAGCGCAGGTAAGCAGGGCCAGGCAGGAGTCAGGACCAGGGTCCAGAAGGAACTACGATCTACGGAGACCTGCTAGGGGAGAAAGCACAAAAAACTCTAGGGAAGAATCTGAATTAGTCATGTTCATTGATAAAACATGGATTATTGTAGAACGAGAGAGTGAGAGAGGAGCTCGGTGTGTCCTAAGAAGTCCCCCGGCAGTCTAAGCCTATAGCAGCTTAACTAAGGGCTGGTCCGGACTAACCTGAGCCAGCCCTAACTATAGGCACAATCAAAGAGGAAAGTTTTAAGTTTTACTTTAAAAGAGCTGACCGAATCTGCCCCCCGGACTGAAAGTGGAACCTGGTTCCACAGAAGAGGAGCTTAAAACCACAGGAACAACAAGTAACCCAGCATCTATGGAGCACAGCAAGTGCCTTGTAGGTGAGGAGAAGTACCTTAAAATCTATTCTTGATTTAACAGGGAGCCAGTGCAGAGAAGTTAATACAGGAGTGATATGATCCCTTTTCTTAGTTCGGAATGAAGGAATACAAGAAAGGAGGTAAAGAAGAACAGAGGGAAGGAAGGAATAACAGATTTAGTTCTTGTCATGTCTACCTCCCTCCATCTTCTCCTCCCCCTTAGACTTCTCCCCCCACCTATCAGGCCCCGCCCCCCTCCCCGATGCACCGCCGCTCCCCAGTTCCTCCCCTCGTCGTGGCTACCGACGACGACGACGCCGTGTCGGAGACCGCCGACAGTTCCGTGCTCATTAGGATGACGCCTCGGCAGCAAGGGCAGGAGCTGCTCACTGTGGAGGTGGCGCCCGAAGGGGAGTGAAGACCCTGCTGCTTCCCAGAATGCATTTCAGCAACCAGGGTTTCAAGTGAAGGGGACAACAAATTCCAGTGCATTCTGGTCTCTGTGCAAAGAAAAAACACCTGTATAATGTTCTCACGTTTCTTCTTTTGTTGGAGCTCCTTATTGTCTTCCACCTCCTGCATGATCTTCTTATTTTAATTTCTTTATTTGCAAAATTCAAGCAATACAAATTAAACAATAAGAAAACATAATATAAATAAATATCACTGTACAGGAAGAGGCAAAAAGCCAACTGGAGTTATTTGAAGCCTCCACCTATATTATATTAAACGCTTTATCAAACGCTTACAAAAAAGCAATTTCTTTTAGGGACTTTCTGAAACATTTTATAGAGGGAGATTTTTTGTTGGGTGGGATAGATCATCACATTTTTTGGTTTTCCCTAAATTTGATAGAAAATTGACCTCTGTTAGTCAGTAATGTAGGAGGATGAAATGTCTAGATCGATAAGTTGAGTAAAAGTGGAACTTATCTTTGAAGTAGATCTTCCAATAATCAGGAATATTTCCTACACTGAAAAGTATCTTATACATAAAAATGAGCGAAAGAAATATGAATGTCATTGATAGTAAGAATCTGCAGTTTCTGAAATGAAGGAGCAGCTGAGATGTGCTGATTGTGTTGCAATCTAAAAAAACATTTCTGGAGGACCAACATTTTTTTGCAGAGAAGTATGAAAAGTACTTACTATACAGTATATTAAAATATGATAAGATAAGGAAAAAGGTAACTGTAGTAAAGAACAAAGGAGACAATGAGAGCAATGTCTAACCATCCTTATGATTCCAGTATCAAAATACTACACATAAATTTATGTATTGCAGTGCAGAGAAAACCTTTTCAACAGTAAAGTAAAGCTATATAGTTGATGTTTGGAAACAATTAAATTTGACCATATGATGCATAATCCTTTTTTGTATTATTTTTTCTATTTTTTTTAAACAAGGCAGTATAGAAAACTTTAGGAAAACATGGTTTTTGTGCTTTAAACAAAAACGCAACAGTTGCAGGACATTTGTTGGAATAAAATCCATGTGGATTCCCATGAGGAGCCAGAAATCGTGACCAATGTTTACAAAGAATTTATTACATTTTTGAGCAACATCAAACAACAATTCTCTTGACAAACTCAAGAGAATTGTCACCATCCAAAAAGACTGACGTAAGCTATATATTTCTCTTTGCAGCACCTGATTTATTACTTTGCATGTGCATGAAATGATACACAGAAATACTTTCAATACTTTTTTTGCAGATCTAATGGGATGGGTATAATTATTTATACAGGATTTTGGAGTTGAATTATTATTTTATTATTTTTTTCTTCAATAGCCTAAATGTATTATGAACCAGGTCTGGAACTACAAATTGGAAAACAATCGATGAAACAAAGGTTAAAAACTTTTAAGATAAGATATTCCTTTATTAGTCCCACAGTGGGGAAGTTTACAGGATCGTGGCAGCAAAGTGGACAGTGGACACAAGACACATGGTAACAAAAACAAGAGCAGCAGTATCATGATAATAAAAAGGAATAAGATGAAAAAGAAATTAAGGGTAAAATAAAATAATAAAATAAACGAGCACAAAGGCCACAGTGGTTAAAAAAAGACTGCAAAGCAGCACCAAATAAATATATGTACTCACACGTACATTCACGAACTTCTGATATGCCAGATCAGCGTTATTTTCCACATTTTCCTATGAAAATACTGGTAAGAATATCTTTAAATTTAGAATTTGATTTGCTCATAATTGTTTACTGCATAATTTTCTTCTGCTAATACAGGAGTAATATAAACTCTTTTCTTAGTTCTTGTTAATACACGTGCTGCAGCATTCTGAATCAACTGGAGAGGCTTAAGAGATTTACAAGAGCAGCCTGATAACAAAGAATTACAGTAGTCCAGTCTGGAAGTGACAAACGCTTGAACTAATTTACTGCATCACTTTGAGACAGGAAGTTCCTTTTCTACGGAATATATTGAAAATCCTTGAAGTCTTCTTTATATGAGAGTTGAAGGACATATCCTGGTCGGAGAGATCACCAGGGTTCCTGTAACGGGAGACTGGCTGCTGGGCTCCAAGGTCCTGGCGACAGGGGAACAGCCCCGTGGTCAGGCGTCACAGGACCGCAATCGGTGGTGGTGGAGTCAGGGTTAGGGTGCCGGCACTGGGCAGGCGTCGGGGAGCCGACGCCTGCCCAGTGGCCGTGGCCGTGCCATGCCCTGCAGTGGGAGCGGGAGGTCGCTGCGCCCCAGCGGGAGGTCACTGCGCCCCAGCGGGAGGTCACTGCGCCCCAGCGGGAGGTCACTGCGCCCCAGCGGGAGGTCGCTGCGGCCTCTTTCCCGGTTTGAGCACCTGCCCCCAAAAGGTCTCCATTATTGTAACCAGCCAAAATGGTTGCTGTGATTTGCGAGGCGTCTGTCAGCCCAGCTATCTGATATTAGCACATTTGCCTGCGTTAGATAGCCTAACGTTCTTTGCAGCGGACCAACGTCACACCTGTCTATTACGGCATCGAGGCAGCTACACACCCAAAGATGACACGAGTTGGCACACATTTGAAATAGATAGATAGATAGATAGATAGATAGATAGATAGATAGATAGATAGATAGATAGATAGATAGATAGATAGATAGATAGATAGATAGATAGATAGATTGATTGATACTTTATTGATCCCTCAAGAGGGAAATTTTGGTATCACAGCAGCATGTACAGGGAAGAAAATAGAATAAAAAGATACCCATTATATACAATATGATAAGATAGAAATATTAAATTATTAAATTAAATTAAGTTAAATAAACTAAAACTGAAACAAAATAATAACTTTCCAAAAGAGACAATAATAATAATTTGTAAAAGGAGAAGATCAAGAGGAAGAGCAGCAGCATCACAGCAGTACAGGTTTGTTATTGTCATTATTTAGCCTGGGATGGTTTATTGTAGAGAGTTGTTGCACTGGGCAGGAATGATCTCCTGTATCGTCCTTGTGACAGCGGAGCTGAAGGAGTCTGTTGGAGAACGTGCTCCGCTGTCCCTGCAGCAGGTGGTGGAGGGGGTGGTCAGGATTATCCAATATGGATAAATATAAATGTGTTTATTCAATGTCTTAATACATTCCTATGTTGAAGCTGGACTCTGAATATTTCTTTATTGATGTGGGTTTTCATTGGTGGATGGACAATAAGTTGATCATATCTCAAATATGCCAGGCACATTCAATCTGAGGCGCCAGCTGTTCGTGTTCCTGGACTCCTCAACTCAGACCCTGGAGGTGTCCTTCAGGGTGGAGCACGGAGACGGTGACTACATGGCGTACGCCAGCTCCGGGCTCAGCAGTAGGGCTGCCACTATCGATTACTTTTTCAATTAGTCAACGATTATTGATACCAGTGTAGGAGCGTGGAAACACAAGGAAAGTATTCCTTTTGTTTATTTCCATCGAATAACTTTGGATTCTGAACTTCAAATGTATTTGAGTAACAAGTTAATACAAATTTAATAATATATAATAATCATAATAAATACATTAAATAGTAATACAAAAAGTAAATGCAAATATGCGTTTGAAAGTAAAGAGAAAGCACAAAAGGTTTTAAAAGTAACTTAAAATAGCAATAAAGTCTCTGCAAGTGAAGCATGTTGAGCATTTTAATAAGGATTTAATAAGTTAGTGTAGATCTCTCGTAATTGTGTTGATATGAACTTATTTTACACAATCTTTTGTTTAAATTGTGCTAAGTGGAGGTTAACGTTAACTATTCAGAGCGATCGAAAAGGCTACTAGCGTTAGCAAGCATCCTCCACGAGACGTTCTGTTCTCCAACAAACCTTTCGATAAGCTAACAGGGCCAGCGTCACTTTAGTTAAGTAAACTTACCCATGTATGGCCTTATATTTGTGCCACAATCCTGAGCGCGTAATTGTAAGTTTTGAGCACAGAGAACTATATTTTAGCAAAGAAAACATATTCCGTGTGCGCAGTTTACTCAGGTGATC